CAAAACAGTAATATGTTAATTTAACACAATTTTTGTGTTAAATTTTTAAAATTTAAACGGGGACCGTTTTTAACAAGAAAACACCAATTTTTCTACTGTGTATATAAAGATAAGATGACGGCAAAATTTTATCTAGATAATTTGATTTAAATAACAGCAAGCACTGCTCAGAAGGCATTTGTGGTTGCAAAATTGCCTCTGAATAGACTGACATTCTTGGGAAACGAAATTCAAGGAACGTTCAACCAAAAAGTTGAAGGCTCCTCGATACTTTCTGCGAAAATATATTCGCTTCGCAGACTTTATGTGTATATATGCTCAAGTGGCATGCATAATGAGAGATATTTGAGTTTGGAAAGACTGGCAAAACGATTGGCTTTCATACGAAAGCTCTCTCTCTTTCTCTCGTATTTTTCCATCGATTTTCTCTCCTTCTCCCTCTCAAATGCATATTAAAACTAACACATATATGTATATAGTTCAATTACTTGGAGTGTTTTTGCTGGAAACTGAACGGTTGACTGATTCGTTTTGTATTGTTTAATTTGTTCTGCTTTCAGTAATGAAATACATCTTTGTGGAAATACACTTGTATTCATATGCACTTTTTTTGTTATATTTTCATGTGGAAATATATATGACAAGCGCGATCAATATTTGGTCGAGGAAGCGAAGAGTTCTCCGCTTTTTCCCTAAAATCGAGATAGAACAGGAGAATAATAAATGTCAATTAAGTGTAACTGATGAGATTTTTCGGATGATGATTAATCGGTTCGTTTAACATCAAAATTTTCGCTAAAATTCATTAAGTTTTCAACTGCACTTCTCTATTGTTTTCAATACTTTTTTTCGAATTCTCCCTGCAGGTAGAAAGACAGACACGAGATAGACTGTTAAAGTTAATCGGCGTTGGTGAAATTGGTTCTAAATTTAATTCAACTACGGTCAAAGTTAAACTACGCGGAAGGAATCAACCCTTGACCCTTTTATCCTTTATTCCTTTTATACGCAAAATACCTACAAAATCGCTTAGCAGTCATAATAGACATTCTAAGTGAAACCGCATTTATATATATATATATATTTTTTTTTTTAACATAAATAAAACTCTGACTACATATCATAATATTATTCAAAAGTTAAAGCCACATTTTTCAAAAATGTTTTGAAATTTTATTTATTCTATTATTTTATTAAATTAAATATTTAATTTAATAAATTAATTGGTAAACTTATATATATATATATATATCCAAATAAATTTTTTATTTTTGATTGTAGAAAAAAATGTTTTAGACAAAAGTTGTATAGTTTCGAGAAGGACATAAGATGGTGCCATTAGTTTGACCTTGAATAGTTGCTTGAGGGTCATGTAAAGGTCACCTTTAATTTCTTAAATGGAACCACCTACTTTTCATTACATATTCTTGTAGCTGACATCGAGAGTTTTCCAAAACACTATAATGAAACATTTTTATCTCAAGTACTTTTTGAGTTATAAGACAAGGTTTCCTCACCTCAAGGTGATCTTTAAGTAATTATTCAAGGTCAAACTAATGGCACCACCTTATGTCCTTCTCGAAACCATACAATTTTTGTCTGAAACATTTTTTCTACAATCAAAAATAAAAAACTTATTTGGGGTGGGACATTAAAATGGGACACCCTGTATATAGGTATATATTTTTTATACGTATGTCATAATTTTCTCTACACAGATTTTATGAATATGCCAAGAGTTTTTTCGTCTTTTCCTCTTTTTTTTTAACGCCACTTTTACGTGTTGCTTTTAATCGATTCACAAATTTATTGCCATATAAATGAACACGTGCGGATCGATGCATGCCAATTGGCAAAAGTGCCGATCTGCATACCGATGATTTTAACGCACTGCGATAAACAACACGAGGGAAAAAAGCTAAGCCAAATCATTTATTCGCGACGCGTGAAAACCGACTGACTTTTTAATTCACAGTCTGAAATTGCGGTATCGTTTTCAACGCAGTATTGGCGAAGAAATTTTAATATATATTCTTCGATCGATTCTTTTTCTAATTTTTGTGAACAATTTTAATTCGAAAAAATAGTTTAAATTTTAGCAAAGATAATTTATCTTTGGGATCATGAAAATTCATCAACTATATTTCGATAGGAAATAAAAAATTGCAAGGCGAATTTTTTTCTCTAAATATCTTTCCTAATTAATTACTCGTCTTAACTAAGATTATTAATTACTTCTATAATTAATCAATGGGAGCCACATTTCATCAATCACTTAATTTTTTTTATTTTAACTATTTTTTGCATTTTTAAAGAATCACTGTAGAAAAATTTGTTTTCTTGTTAAAAACGATCTCCGTTAAAATTTTTTGTTAAATATTTAACACATCTATATAATATAAAATTATTAAAACAACTAAAAATTATTAAAAGATCTAAAAATAACACAATGTGCATCTATTTTTAATTTTACACAATAAATATGTTCTTTATTAGTTGCAAGATTAATCTGTTAAAATTTACAGGAAAAAATGTTGATTTTCTATTTTATAATATAAGTGGGAATAATAAAATCTAAATTAATTTTTACATTTTAAAACTATGTTAATTTTTCACTATATTTAAAATTTTTATATAATTGCCTTGTGTATTTTATTTTACGTGTTTGTTATCTATAATTTTTATTTTAATTATTTAATTACTTATTATTTATTAAATCTATTTAATTATTAATTAATTTTATTTTGATAGTATATAAATTAAGAATAAATTATAATTTATTTTGTTAATCATTTTTAATAATTTTTTTATTAATGTTTTAAAACAAAATTTATTTTAAATTATTTGAAGTTTTGCATGTATTTTGTGTTAAAATATTAACACAATATTTGTGTCTCTCCCCATTTAACATATCTATATTATATAAATTAACACAAAAATGTCTGTGGCCCGTTTGGGACGTCTGTTAAATTGATCATAAATTCAACTATAATTAATTTCAATGCATGGCAATTCTCCGATCGTTTTCGATTCGGTGAGAGTGGGATATATAAATTAAGAATAAATTATAATTTATTTTGTTAATCATTTTTAATAATTTTTTTGTTAATGTTAAAAACAAAATTTATTTTAAATTATTTGAAGTTTTCCATGTATTTTGTGTTAAAATATTAACACAATATTTGTGTCTCTTCCCATTTAACATATCTATATTATATAAATTAACACAAAAATGTCTGTTTGGGACATCTGTTAAATTGATCATAAATTCAACTATAATTAATTGCAATACATGGCAATTCTAAATATACCGATCGTTTTCGATTCGGCGAGAGTGAGATATATAAATTAAGAATAAATTATAATTTATTTTAATTATTTTTAATAATTTTTTGTTAATGTTAAAAACAAAATTTATTTTAAATTATTTGAAGTTTTGCATGTATTTTGTGTTAAAATATTAACACAATATTTGTGTCTCTCCCCATTTAACATATCTATATTATATAAATTAACACAAAAATGTCTATGGCCCGTTTGGGACGTCTGTTAAATTGATCATAAATTCAACTATAATTAATTTCAATGCATGGCAATTCTCCGATCGTTTTCGATTCGGTGAGAGTGAGATATATAAATTAAGAATAAATTATAATTTATTTTGTTAATTATTTTTAATAATTTTTTTATTAATTTTTTTATTAATGTTTTAAAACAAAATTTATTTTAAATTATTTGAAGTTTTGCATGTATTTTGTGTTAAAATATTAACACAATATTTGTGTCTCTCCCCATTTAACACATCTATATTATATAAATTAACACAAAAATGTCTATGGCCCGTTTGGGACGTCTGTTAAATTGATCATAAATTCAACTATAATTAATTGCAATACATGGCAATTCTAAATATACCGATCGTTTTCGATTCGGCGAGAGTGAGAACGTGTCCTCGGAGAGTCTCGTATATTAATGGACAGTTTCGCGCGGTTGCGACATAATGAAGGACCGTAATAAAGAGTGTTGTTCTTGGACAGATTAGACCAGGACTCGGCGATACGAGAGCGGGTACCAATCCAGAATTCGATAATGGAATTCTAGGTCAGAGCAGATCGCTCTGCACCGGCCAATACGGAGTTCCGTGTAGCAATATGTGGTCGGTTTAGCGGTCCATCGCGCGCGTATAATAACTTTCTAATCTGATACGGCGAATCATCTGATACGAGAACGAGACGCTTAAGATACGTCGACGGAATTCAGGAAAGTATATACATATATATACGTCGCTCTCGGGGAGGTCACCCGACGATGATTAATGCGCCTGTTAATACGACGTCATCCTCCTGGCACGTAAACGTTGGGCGCAGACAGGGTGTATACCCCGAGGACATCAATTTATGATATTGAATGTCAAAGGCTGAACGCGCGTAAAAGGGGTACTCGTTCGTTCCAACATTTCTGCACAATATTCGATACATTCTATATGTCTAGCCGTATTATGATTCCACGACAAAACTAATATTTTTAAAATTGGAAAAAAAAATTTTTTTATATAATTGCCTCGTGTATTTTATTTATTTATTTATTTTACGCGTTTTTGTCAGCTGTAATTTTTATTTTAATTATTTATTTTTCATTAAATTTATTTATTTAATTATTGATTATAAATTTTATTTTGATAGTATATGTAAATTAATAATGAATTATAATTTATTTTATTAATCATTGTTTATTAGTGTTTTAAAATAATTATGAATTATTATTATTATTAATTTTAAATAATGAATTAATTTTATTATCTGATTAATCGTGTATTTAATTAAAAAAATAGACGCTATATTATTCAGTATATAAAATCAGATGGGTGAAATCGCTGGGTAATATTTCTTGCAATTAAAAAGAAAAAAGCAAGAAATAAAAATGTGTTATTCTTCACAAAATATACATCCTTCATTCTTAATTAATATCTATTATTTTTAATTTACTTTGTTTTTCCGCAGCCTCCGATCTGGACTGCATCCGGGCCCTGTTCAATGAGAAGGAGAAGGAACTCTCGCTGGCGGTGGCGAAGGTCGAGGAGCTGACGCGGCAGCTGGAGGAACTCCGGGGTCGTCAGAATGCCCCCGCCGGTGGTGGAAGCGCCGGGAACGTCGGAGGCGGTCTCGCGGGTGCCACCGGCAACGGACACCTGGCCACCCCGGCCAGCGCCGAACTGGAGAAACTCAGGAGAGAGCTTATGGTAAGCTCCCGCCATCGATTCCCCGTCTCTGGAGAGCCGCTCTCGCTACGGGAATATCATCGTATCTGCCCCAATTTCGACCCTAATCAACCATAAAATACGCGTTCCAGTTATGAACGAGCGGAGCTCTCGGAGAAATGGATGTAGAAAGTTTAATTGGTAAAACATAAATGTCGAGGGCTCGTTAAAAAGAGATCTTTTACTTTTCCGCTATACGTTCCATGAATAAAATATGTAATCTGCTTGACGCATTTATTTTCCGTGTATAATCCTGTCATCCTTTCCGATACAAAAGGATGGTTTGTTTTGTTTAACAAACTCATTATTTTCCTCCTGTAATTTATAATTACAACAACTGTTGATCTTATGTCGATGAATGCATATTGATTGAAAATAATGTTCGCGCAGTATCGCAACAAGATGAACGAGCAGCAAAACCAGGTGGTGTCCCAGCAACGTCAGGCTCTGGCACAACGGCAGGCCGAGATGGCATCGATAGACGCGCGAATAGCTCAGCTGCAGAGTCGTCTTCAGCGCAAGAGAGCGTTAAACCAGCGGTTGGCGCATCAGCTGGGTCCTAACGGAAGTGGAGGTGGAGGTGGAGGACGCGGCGTCGTCGGCGGCGCCAACAACGCAGGCTTCCCGGACACGAAGCTCGACGGCTTCAACAGCGGCGGCAAGCTGAGACCGACCGGCAACATTGCCGCGATCGAGCCGTACTCGCATATACCGAACGACAATGATTTCAATCTGAACAAAAACGATCCCAAGTACCAGACACTGCCGTACAACACCAAGTTCACGGTGAACTTCAAGACCATAGAGGACGACGTGAACAAAAACAAGATACAACACTCGGCGAGCGCCTCCCAGTTGGGACAGCGGCCGACCTTTCAGCAATACGGACACCAAATCGTTCACAGTCAGTCGCAGTCGCACATTCAGGGTGAGCGCTTTTTACATTTCAGCAAAGATGTTGCGGAGTGGAAACGAGTCGAGCTGTAACCTTCTAAGCGATTTTTATCTAAAGAAAGCGCATAATTTTGGAATAGTTTAGATTAATTGGATCTAATTGTTTTACATCGCATTTTCCATGATAATGCAGGATCTACTTAATTATGTAAATTTCAGAATATATACATTAACACAGAGCACGCGCGTACATATTGAACAATTATTTATAATATTAAAATTGATTGAGATATACATAAATAAATTATTTGTTGCAAAGATTATTTTCTTCATAAGTGCTTGTGAATTAATTTTTGCCTAAAATGTTTAGGGCAATCTCAATTACTAGGAAGCAATCAGCAGCAACAGCAGCAGCAGCACAATCAAAATCTCGGCAATCAACCCGCGATTCAATCGAGTTGCGCCTACAATAATAACAATAACAACAACAACAACAACAACAATAGCAACAATCTCATCAGTAACGCGCATAACTTCAGTCCGGACAATCTGTCGCAAGGTCTTCGTCTTCATCAGAGCCACCAGCAGCAACAGCAGACACAGCAACACCAAAACAACAATGCCCAGCAGAAGCAACACAATGTGACCAGCATCGGCGGCGCATCGACGACGTCGAATGTCGTCGGTGTGACCGTCCCGTCGATCGCGCAAGCCGCGCAGAACTCGCATCGGAATCTACAGCAGACCGTAGGCGGACATCAGAAACCGGTGTCGAGCGTGGCGCCGAGTTTTTCCGTCAAGTCGCAGATCTATCAGACTTCCTCGACCAAGATTCATCCGGTGATGCCGCAAACTTTGAGTCTACTAGGTCGCGGACACAACAACAACAACAACAACAACTCGGCGCAGAACTACATCAGCAACAATCAGCAGCAAGCAGCAGCGACCACGCAGCTACAATCTGGCGTCGGGAATCAAGAAGCGAATTATAGACACGGTTACTCTGCTGTCCAGCAACAGCAGCAACAACAACAACAGTATCCCAATCAGCCAGCAGCCGTCTATCAGGTTCAGAATTCGAATCTCGCCGGTTTTCACGGCACCTTCGGCAACTCCTCCCAAAAGTACAACCAATCCTCGCAGGTATCGAATTCTAACGATCTCGTACAGAATCAGGATCAGAACCAGGTCTTGAACAGTCAGAAGGTCAAGTTCGAGCCGGGCAAGGGTCAGGATAAGTTCGAACACGCATTACCATCTAACAATAAGCACGAACAGCAGCAACAACAGAATAGGTACGACCAGAATCTCACGAGCAAATACGAGTCTCAGCAACAGAGCGGTAAGCATGATCAGGCGAAGCACGAGCAGCATCTGCACAGCGTTAAGTACGAGTCCGGTTGCCAGAATTCGCAACAGTATAGCAAACACGAACAGCAACAGCAGCACGAAGGGAGATTGCCGATCAAGTACGATCATAATCCGACGTTTAAGCACGAGCCCTCGAACACCAATCAGTATAAAACGGAGCCGAGCAAGTACGAGAGCGGCGGCGGTCAGAGCAAATTCGAGGCGGTGGAGCGGAGCAAGTACGAGCAGAATTCCACGACGAAGCATGTGGTCGATCACGTAATCGCCAAGTTCGAGGTTCCCGCGAAAACGCCGTACGAGTTTGACAATAGGCCGACGAACAAGAGCAGCGACGGCGGCGAGAGGAAGAATTTCAATGAGCCGCGAATGGAGGATAAGACAAAGCCGGCACTGCCGCCAAAACCGAGCAAGCCGAATCCACCGCCGAGACTGACTCATCATGAGAAGATCGATGTGCCGTCATCCGAAGGCATCAACGAGTGCAAGATGACCAACGCGAATCTCAATTCGAGGTTTGTACGCTTGATTTTCAATTAAAGAATGGGAATTTTTTTTTTTTTTTTTTTATGATTGAAACACTTTTCCAAGCTGCCTTAAATTTGTATTTTTAAGAAGACTAAGAATTCATTCGATGTTAATTTGATCGGCAAAGAATTAAAGGATTAGAAGGATATATAATAGACTTGAAAAATTATGAAACTTTCATTATTTCTATATTAAATTTCTCTCTTCAATTAAAACGTATCGATTGCTTGTTGTATAATAATTATATGATATAATAATGAGATACATTCGAAAGAGGCTTCTTGAAAAATTTAATGAAAAACGTTGATTCCACCTTTTTAACATCCGATTAATTAAACAAAGTGCTGTAGAATTTTAGATATTTCATAATACAAAAGTTTCGCGTGTTTATACATTATTCACTTTTAATTAAAACATTTTAACAACTTTCGTTATTTTTCTTTTATCATCCGGTGAAACATTTTGTACTATATGTATCTGTGCGAAAGAAACTTCTCATTCATGTTATAGTTTAGGCAGGCGCGTGACAAGTTTGATAAATCCTGCCCTTCACACTCCTCCTCAAGAGAGTTACGAGGTCGTCGAGAAATTCATCAGCGAGCGATTCGCGCGGACTCAAACTGCGGAATGACAAAACGATTACCGGGTTAATTATAAATGTTAATTAGTTCGCGATCGATTTGGCGAGTGAATCGAAACCTCTCTCACTCTCTCGAATAATAGACACCGAAATAGAATCGCTCTCTGTGTCCGCGGAGACGACGGCGCGGATAGGCCATCCTTCTCTCTTCAGTGTTCATGAGTTCTCCGAAGTCGATGCACAGCACACAGTGATACACTAGGCTGGATCAACATTCAGAGTCAACGATTTCGATCAATTGCGGAACGATCCTCAATTACGCGGCCATTAGTAACTGTAATATCCGTCTATTGGATGGTCGAGCTCCTCTGATAGACAGATTGAGCGACAACTGGTTCGGATCGCGACCTTTATTTATGCCCTTTGCGGTTTCGCATGCCGCTGACCGACGATTCGACACGCTCGCTTCGGATTCGAAAACTCTTGAATGGGATTTCAGCATTGCAAATTGTACTCGGTTTCCCTTTCATTACGGTGACTCCAAAATTGTAAGTCTCGGATATGATTAATCGCGTGCAATTCGATCACTTATATTTTATTATCTCACATCGATTCTATCCTCGGTCGCTTCTGACAGATCAGAAATTATTATAGATTCGTTATGTATAATTATTTCAAATGATTTCAATGAATTCTTTGAATCGATACTACTTAATAGGATGAAAATAAGATGATTATTCGTCAATTTCTTTGATTAGAACTATCGCTGTCAAAATCTGTGTAATGATAATTTTTAATTTGGCAAATCTCGTGTACAGGTCGGATAAGGACGAGGATATACCGCCGATTCCCACGTCGGAACCGCCGGAATCTCCCACGGAGACGCAGCTGGCAAGTCATCAAATCATCAAGGCTCGGCCGCTGACTCTGAAGAAGGCACCGATCTCGGAGCAGCCCAGGCTGAGATACAAATCCAATGTTCACGTGTCGATAAATCGACGAATTGAAATGCCCCCGGCCTTCCTGTTCCCGGAAACGGAAATCCCGGCGGATCTTATGCAGACCGAACAACAGCAGCAACATCAACAACAAACTATAGACACTACGGACAATTGCAAGAGCGTTATAGCCGACGACATCGGCGAGGGCGAGAGATTGGAAGAGGCGGATATCATCGATGCCTTGAATGTCATCAACATCGAGGATAAGCCGACGAAGATGAAGACAGATTCGGAACTGGGCGGCGAGGTGGAAATTGACGGAGGCAAGATATCGGAGGTAATGAGGAGGAAGAAGGGAAATCTCAAGTCGTCGAGCACGACAGGAAGCGGAAGTGGCAAGGTCAATCTATCCAGGAGGGTGTCGTTCGATCCATTGGCGCTTTTACTCGACGCTAGTCTCGAGGGAGAGCTCGAGCTTGTGAAGAAGACCGCGAAGGAGGTTGCCAATCCAAGCTCCGCCAACGACGAGGGTATCACGGCTCTTCACAACGCTATATGCGCCGGTCACCTCGAGATCGTCAAGTTTCTCGTCGAATTCGGCTGCGATGTCAACGCCCAGGACAGCGATGGATGGTAAATTGAATATTTTATCATATATAATATAAAATATTGAATATATGATATATGTAATATTAAATATTATATATTATAAAATATGATATACATAATATTACATATCATATTTAATATTTTATATTATATAAATAATATTAAATGTGATAAAAAAAATATTTTGCCTTTAATAAATTATTCGCAAGATCTCAAAACTTACATAAACATTAATATTTTTCGTATGGTAAATTGAATATTTTATTATATTATATCATATATAATATATAATATAAAATATCGAATATGATATACAGGGGGTAGACAAAATAATGTGAACACTTTTGAAAGAGGCATATTTATACCTGTTTATTAATTAAATGTTGGGTTACCACTTGTCCCCTTTCCAGTGCAATGCTGTCTCATTCTTCCATCCGTTAATTATCCTAGAGATGTTGAAGGAGGAAATCCGCTTCTCACTCTTCCTCAAAACTGTCCACAGTCCGATAATATTAAGCCATTAAGATGCCCAAATATTCTCTCTGGCCAGCACAATTATCAAATTTGAATATCATCAGACAAAACTTTTTACTCTCTTCTCCAAAATCGCCCATAGTGGCTCAATGATATTCAAATTTCGTAATTGTGCTGGCCAGGGAAAATATTTAAACATCTGTAGACAATTTTGAAAAAGAGTGAGAAGCAAATTTCCTCCTTCAACATCTCCAAAGCAATTGATAGATAGAGGAATATACAGGAAAGGGGACAAGTGGTGACCCAACATTTAATTAATGAACAGGTATAAATATCCCTCTTTCAAAAGTGTTCACATTATTTTGTCTACCCCCTGTATGTAATATTAAATATTATATTATATATTATAAAACATGATATACATTAAATAATATTATATATCATATTTAATATTTTATATTATATAAATAATATTAAATATGATAAAAGAATATTTTACCTTTGATAAATAATTCGCGAGATCTCGAAACTTAAATAAACATCTAATATTTTTCCTGTAGGACACCATTACACTGTGCCGCGAGTTGTAACAATCTGTCCATGGTGAGATTCTTGGTCGAACACGGGGCCTGTATTTTCGCGACTACTCTTTCGGATCACGAAACCGCTGCGGAGAAATGCGAGGAGGACGAAGAAGGCTTCGACGGGTGCTCAGAGTACTTGTACAGTTAGTATCATCGATTTCAAAATCGGCATAATAATAATAATAATAATAATGTCTTTAGAATAAAAATTTAATCTTTTCTTGGTACACAGGTGTTCAAGAAAAATTAGGAATCATGAACAACGGTCAAGTCTACGCGGTTTTTGATTACGAAGCGCAACACACCGACGAGCTCTCGTTGAAGAACGGCGACTCCGTAGTCATACTCCGGAAGGGCGATGATAACGAACGGGAATGGTGGTGGAGTAAACTCGGACATAAGGAAGGCTATGTACCTCGGAATCTATTGGGGGTAATTAATTATTATTATAAAAAATAAAATTATTTAAAAAGCATATTTTATGATTACTTAAATGTATTAAATTGCTGAAGAATAAATTTTTTAAATATAAAAAATTATACTTTTATATATTAATTTATTAAATAGAAAGAATATAAATTTCAAGTACAAAATTTTTCGAAGAATCAACAAATTTCAAAAGTATAAACTTACGAAATAAATAATTAAATTTTTAGATCGCTAGTATTAAATTCATATTAAATTCAACTAAATTATAAGCATCAGTGTGAAACTTTGTTACGAAACATTCATTTCGTAACGAAGTTTCATACTGATAATATGTTCGATTTACGTTGTTTGGAATGTCAACTGGTATATTGACCACTGAAGACTGTACTGGACCACAAGATGGTCGAAACGTCGTTTTAATGAATAAAAAATGTGTGCTAGATTTGGTCGCTTAAATTTATCCTTTACGAAATAAAATTTTAAATTATCGAAAACATTTTATATAAATGTACTTATAATTCATGTATAAATGCTTTTAAAATATATATAATAAGATAACTAAAATATTATAAAATATAACTTTTATAAGATATATATAAATATATCGGAAAAATTTACAATATAAAATGCTATATAGTTTTGTATTTAAAATATGTATTTCAATCAATTTTAAAATGCACAAGACAAATTATCTTGTATATTGTATGTTTCAGTTATATCCCAGAGTGCAACCAGCGAAAGCGGTTGACTAAAGAGTTTCGTGCTCGCAGAATATCCGACGATTATTACAGTATTCGATTTGCAGCTTTATCTTGTTAATTGTTATTACACAACACATAGGCACATTAGTAGTGTTATTTAATAGCATCTCATTGCTATCCGAAGCGGATACGGATATCGCGTAGTGGGATTCTACCAAACTTTTTAACAGCGTTAATAATCTCTTCACTTTACAGAGTAATTTTTGTATGACTTTTTTTTGCAAAGGGAGATCAGTCAAGGATCTCCTTCTCGATCAGCGGTCGATCGTGGATTTGCTATAATCTATGAATTGAACGATCGCGCAAACTCGTATTATTATGATTGACGATGTATATAGAATATTTGTTTGAATGTGTATTGACTCTCTTTTCCTTTCCACATCATTTCGATATAATAGAAACAGATTTTAATAACAGATCGTGTTATTTTTTGTCGCATTTGCCACGATTAGTCGCATGCGCACATTTCACTCTTTCGTTCAAAAGTTACTTAAAATTAGTTAAGAATTAGTGAGACATTTCGTGTGTATACACAATTGCAAGCCATTAAATCACTTATTATATATAGCATTACGTGTTTCAAACGAAAGAATTTTATCTTTTTATCATATACAGGAAAGGCTCCTGTAATTAGCGAAAGTGCATGCATAGCATTGAACCTTGTGAAATTTAGAATCGATTTTTGTTAATGGAGGATGTTGTTCCCCATTTACCTACTTAAGCCTTATAGCTGCAAAAATAGTGAAATTTTTTTTATTGTTTTATTTTAAACACTTCGTTGTTTAATGTAAAGTCTATATTATACATACACATTACTTTTGTATTTGTACAAAATTGTAATTTAGGATATAGTTATTATTAGAATTGTAAATGTTGGAAATCGTGAAGCGTTGTAAAAAGCAGATCAGATAATGATTTACCTCGCAATTTACGTCTTCGCTAAAGAACGATTGACTCGAAATTTCACAAGCGCTATATATGTCCACTTTTCTTCGATTTCAGATGTTTACGATTACTTTGTCATGCGCGAACATCGACTGTAAGAGTTTTATATCACTTTAATTTGCTTCAACTAAATGCTCGAGTTTAGATGAGGTCAGATTATATTGCGTTATTCACCCAAGAGATATTATCGAAATACTTCGGATTTCGTTCATTTATTTTTTTTAAATATTTTTTTGGAGCTGTTCCTAAATGACGTGTAATCTTGCCAATACGCATGATGAACGATACGATAGCTTTTCGAATGACAATGTGCAATTATATGAGAAAACGATAGGATATACTAAAGAAATATATATATATATATATATATATATATATATATATATATATATATATATATATATATATATATATATATATATATATATAAAATAGATGATACATTTTAATTACGCCCAATTATACTATTTTGATTCGACGATGTCTAAAATGTCATGTAATATCTAGAGCATCTACAAGATAATTTCTCGACCGAGTATAGCGCTGTCAGAAATTCTCTAAGCATCTTTATTACGTTGTGTTCTCATAATAGATATGTACAGGTGTGTGATATATATGCGAATACGAACCGCTTAGAGGATTTCTGATTGCTTTGTCAAGTGAAATATGTGCCTTTCGAAAGTAATAAGAAATATATAAGAAAAACACACACACGATATATTATGACAAATAAATTGTTTTTAATAAAAAAATACATTCTTTCACCAGTTAGTCCATTCCCTCTCAGGCATCGTTTACAATAAATATATTATAATTACGATATAAATATGTAATAATGCTAATTACCACCTATTACTATTGATTATGGAAAAAAATATTCTCGCAACATACAAAAAAAATATTCGATGTAATGATTTGTAGAAGGGCGAGAACTTTAAAATGCGTCGAGTTACGATGAAATAACTGCTATACAACATAACATAAAACAGTGTCTGGCTTCTTGATATCAAAACGTGCCTTTTTAATTCTATGTACACTGAAGTATGTATCTTGTTTGTACTGTTAAACTTGGATGTGTGCATATCTCTTTTTTTTATATACGAGAGTAATATATAATTTATATAAAATAGATTTAAAATGTAAAAACGCGTATAAAAATAATTTTACAACAAACTTATGATATAGTCTTGTACAAGTGTTATCGAAACACAAAAATGTACTTTTGAGAGTCAAAAGTTACATTCTTCTCATTTATATACTCTGGACAAATATAACAATTATCGAAGTTCCAAAAGATCGAATTTAAAAAGATCGATCTCAATATCTTATTGTGTCAATTAATTTTTTAGCTACAATATTATTCACTTTCACAAGTGCTAACAATTCTTTTCACCGGGAAATTAAAATTATACTTATTTCTTGTATTTTTAAATACTTATTAATAAAATAAACAACTTAATTAAAGTAATATACAAAAAGGCACATCTATCTGTAGTTTACAAGACTTAAAGAGAGTATCAAGGCATAAATGTAATTTGTTTTATATCAGCCACTATGTCTAATCACATTATTGTTGGATGATATATATTCATTACATTTCATATATATTATCCGTGTGTGTTTATGTAGCTTTTGAGAGACTGAACAAATATATAAATATAAAACGTATGTTTACGTCAATGTACACATGTATAACACATGTATAGTTCAAGATACAAATTAATGTTATAATGATGAAAAGAAATCTTTTCCATTTCAAAAATGAAATCGTCTTCAACTTTTATACTGGTTAATTCTACTTTATCTATCACCTTGCACACTGACGTACAGAGTTGACATGTCAATATTATTATTTTAACTATTACCGAGCCCATCTGATAAATAATTAAATAAAACAATCAAGCATATGTGCCTGTGATATCAAACAGAAAAAAACCTAAACCTGTTTTGCTTCCTTTGCAATCTGCAGACATATTTGAAACTCTTCGCATTCTCCCACTATGGTTTTAAGACTGAAAATGATTAACACTCCAAACTAACAATTTTTAAAAAGTATAGTAAGTTTGATATAAAAATTATTGCACAATCTTGCAACAGAAAGGAATAGGAAGGTAGAGAAAGCTTAAAAATTGCTCTATTTTACATACCTTTCAATATAAATATCCAGACTTGAGATTTCAAATTTCCCTCTTCTTATAGATTCAGCACAAAACTGTGACAAACTTCTGAAACATTTATGTGTGGTATTACAAAGACCCTGATTTTCCCACTCGGGTAATTCTCTGGCGATTTTCCAGGCTTCCAATACATAGTGCATCAATGAGGCCCAGTGTTGGGATTCTTGCAGAATTCTTGCCTGATCGATTAGAGCTTTCTAAAGAAATAAAATTATAAGAATTAAAAGTTGCTCATCACTTTTGATATAAGCTAATTATGTTTAACAAATAGAACACTTAGAAAATGTAATTAATTAACTTTTTATAATCAAAATAGAACATAAAAACAAAATACATGCTCGAAAAATAAATATGTTGAAACAAATATAAACCTGAAACGCATCAAGATGTATGTAAGCGCTGTTGTATGCAGATTCATCATTCAAATTCGGAGAAAATACGAGGCTAGCGTAAATATTCTGCCTCAAGACAATCAATTTCTCTAAGAATGGTTGAACATCCGCGTCTGATATTTTCTTTGAAAGAAAATAACGAAGTTTTTCATCCTCATGCAGCGTACCGTCCTCCTGTGCGCATACCAATTCCATAATCAACTGTACAAGTTGCTCGTGACTAAGATCTCGTAAAACGTTGACAAAATTATCATCAGATCGCTGTTTACTCGCAGCATCTAGTGACACTCGAGAAGACAACGATGTTTTGTTTTTCTTGCTTTTTGGTGTAGAAAACTCAGATTGACTGGTATCGCCAAGAGAAAGTCTTTTTCTGGCTGCGTCTCTCAACGTCATGCTTGATGTCGATGGTCTTTTAATTGGAGTATGGTCTTTGGAGCTCAAACTGATCGGAAAGAAGAAGATTGTTAGATTTATTCAAAGACTAGCTACTGCGATCTTCCCAACAAATTAGCATTTACACAATATATGGTACCTGAGCAAACTATGTCGCTTATATGTGTTCATATCAGGAGACCACACTATGGACTTGCGTCGACCTCTGTTTTGAATGACAAGTTCATCAGGACTCTGCGGCGAGCTCCAATCATCAGGAAGTCTGTTCAACCAATTCTGCACTGTTCTTACATCCATGTTGTGAGACGTGGCTGAAAAATACAGAGATGTCAAAACAATTTTTTCAACAAATTATCACAAGTCAACAATTTTCTATTTACATAAAGGCATATTCTTGCTACGGATAAAAATCTAACTATCTATAAATAAAGAGATTTATTTTAAAAAGACAACAAAGAGTATTTTCGACTCGCAATTTCTCAGGGAATCAACATTTGAGGTTAATTCTCGAAATATAAATATTGCGTTTGCGAATCGAATATATTATATTAAAAACGCATTATTTACATTCGGACGCAACGATTGTGTCCTGAAAGGGAAAAACGACACGAAATAACGACACTTAGGATGCAAAACATACCTGGCAAGGAATTGGCGGGAACCGTCGTCGGATCCTCCGCATGTCTCGTACGTGGGGACGGCTCCTCTCGAAGCTGTCTGACAGATGTGGTCATCGCGATAATATTCCCAGGCACTCGAACACCCTCCGCGAAGAGTTTCGGTCACGAGATTCAACGGGAGAGACGTCTGTCAAAATACGCATCCGCGCTCACCGGTGTTGTTATTTGTTATACAAGAGCAGCTGAAGCGTGACTGACGTCTCTCGCGCATGCGTGACGTAACAGCTGTCATACGGAAGCTTCGAAACGTCAAACGGAACAAAACGAAACGCGCGCTTGGGTTGGGTTGGGTTGACTTCAAACTCTCGTGTGTTTGTTTGTGGACAGATTTGTCAAACCTTTTTGTGCGTTCAAGGGATGCAGATGACGACGTCCGTCGAATCTGTAACAGGAAGATGCCTTTTAATGTGTCCAGAGAAAGAACGAAGGATGTAAGTTTCCTTGCAATGTAGGAAATTCAGAAATTAAAAGAATATGCAGTATTAAAATATTAATTTAATATTAAAAAAATATATATATATGTATATAATTAATCTAAAATATTAATTAATTATATATATATATATATATATATTATTATTAATTTGTAATTAATGATACTATTCTATTTGTGTTTTCATATGTATAATTGTAAAATGTTATGGGAACAACAATAAGCTGATGTGTAACTCTAATTTTTCATTCAGGAGGGAGAGAGAAGGTTTGTTGCACAAATACGAGATCGATGAAGAAACGAAACATATGAAAAAGCCTAGAGCTGATACTGCCAGAACGATAAAGTGTTTTAGTCGTTCCGCTGCTGGTCAAGTTATGACAGATCCCTACTCGTTACGTCCACCACATGTATTATTATCCACTGTGCGATACCTATTCACTGAGTAATTTCAGATATTTCTTTAAATATGCTTTATCAATCACAATTTTATTATTAATAATTTTATTGCTATTATTAGTATTATTAAGAAGTGCTGTTCCTCTTATATCTGTTATGAAACATTGATTATAATATAATAATATTAATAATATTATAATATGAGATATTATTTACATTATAATGAGATATTATTTATGTAACATGATGCATAACATATAAATATTCTAGAATAATCACGCGAACGGATTTAGACTGGACGTTAATATACGATTTTGTGTTCGATCGACTGAGATCAGTGCGACAAGATGCTGTAATCCAAAGAATTGATATTACTACGAACATTTCTCTTCTAGAACCAATCGTCCGATTTCATACTTATGCTGCACAGAGGTAGAAATTAATAAGCATATATTACATTTACACATTTGATAAGATATGCACAAATTCTTTCTAGGCTCTGTGAGAAAAATATTTCGGAATTTGATGCAAAAATAAATAATAAACATTTATTAGAATGTATCAAACAGTTACTCGTATTATATGATAAACGAGATTATAAAAATACAAATAATGTAGAAGTACACGAAGAGCTCGAAAAATTGGCGTTAAACGATAGTCGATTGGAAATGGAAGCTTTATATATTCTTCTTCATATCGGGGATCAAGAGGCTTTAAAAAGAGCTCTTATGCTTCCTTCAGATCTGAAGTAAGTTGTTGATAAAATTATATGAATAAAAAATGTAATAAAATTAAAAATTATTTAATACAAGCATTTAGTGTTTATATGTATCATGAAGCATTTGTGTGATAGTTATTATTAATTTATAATATTTTTCCTTATATATGTTTGAGCAGAAATTCACCGGTAATTCGATTAGCTACAAAAATATCACTTGCTTGGTATCTAAAAAATTATGCTCGTGTTCATTATCTGGTTCAACAATTACCTCCAATATTAGCTTGTGCATTTTTCTGTAATTTACAAAGTTTCAGAAGGTATATCTTATTTTCATTATATATATATATATATATATATATATATATATATATATATATGAAAAAAGAATTATATATATTCAATAATATTTAAAATTCCATTAAATAATTATTTATAAATTAATAAATTTCATAAATATATGTATATTTCAGAAGTGCTCTACAAATCATGAGTTTTGGCTATAACAGTAAAGTATTGACATTCCCAGGATTAAAAATACAAGAACTTTTATTCTACAAAGATATAAATAAAGTCCAGGCAGATTGCAATTTATTTGGCTTGACATTTATTAATGAAAATATTTTATTTCAAAAATCACAGTTTAATAATCAAGCTTTGCAAGTTAGTACCAAATTCAAAAATTATGTAATATTCTATAATTATGCGATTTTTTTATCTTATCGTTCTTTTTTATGTTACAGGCCAATCCTGAGATGTATTACACTTCTGTCGCATTACATAAATTTATACCAAAAATTATGTTGGAATGTACTTCTAATTAATAAATGTACTCTTCTATTGCAATATTTACATTTATTGAGAATCACTGGACGAACTACTCGAGGAATCTGTAGACATAACTTCAACATCTTCGGTTTCCTGTTTATGTGTATTCACAGCTACACTGCCTTGTCCACCAACAGACATATGAATCTCTCCTGACGGATGCCAAGCAAATTGATTCGATTGTGAAACAGGTGGTTCTGAAATAGCAATTAAAAATTTTAAAAGATATGTACATTTTTATTATTTTTAAATAATATAAAAATTTAATTTTTATTCTTACCTCCAGCAGGATGTCCTGCTCTATGCAAATCAGATGGGATACCTGGATGAGATCCAAGTAATTGTCCATTTAAAGGTAAATCACTTAATCGTCCAAGGTATCCTAATCTCATTTCAATATCTGTAATACAAAAAGATAGAGTTTATAATTATTTCAAAATATTGTAGTAATATTATTATAAGCAAGAGATAGAAATGTAATGCAAACTTATTTAAATATAAAAATTTGTACCTGTTGGATATGGTCTTCTGGGATCTCCCTGCTGCCATGTTAATGGTGCACAAATTGCATTGGTTGCGCTTATCCTATGTGCATATTTAATAAGCTCTTCCGAAGGAACAGGTCTCTTATTAGCACGTGCAATAGACTGTAATTTTTGCTTTGCTTGATAAATTGCAGTAGCCAAGATTTGTTCTGCCTCCTTTAATTGCCGCTGCAGTTGCTGAATGTCCTGATCCTGTCTCTCTACTTCAGCTTTCAGAGCCTCCATCTTTAGATTGATTTTAGCTTGCTCTGCAGCCCGTTTCAATGTCGCCTTTAATTCATTGTCCTTGGCAACCAACAATTCAGTTAGCTGAGCGTGCTCTGTACTAGAGAGCTTTGAAGGTTTTTGAGCAATTGTGTTTCTATAATTTCTCTGGAAAAATATCAGAATATATTTAAATCACAGATTACATAAATTCTATAAATCTGTAGAAGTTGTTGATTCAACATTGTTTGAGTCTGACAAATTTTACAAGATAAACTGTTGGATTTTCACAGTGAAATTCTATAAACCTATAGAAGCTGTCAATTCAACATTGTTCGAGTCTGATAAATTCTACAAGCTAAACTGTTGGATTTTCATAGTGAAGTTCTGTAAACCTATAGAAGCTGTCAATTCAACATTGTTGGAGTCCGATAAATTCTACAAGGTAAACTGTTGGATTTTCATAGTGAAGTTCTATAAATCATAAAAGCTGTCGATACAAACATTATTTGAGTCCAATAAATTCTACTCTACAAGAGAAACTGTTGGACTTTCATAGTGAATACAACTTACTTTGCTATCAGCTCAATATCATCCACTAATGACAATAGAACTTCTCTCGTGCTTCTGCTCGATGCCATCACGACTTATTCAACAAATTATCTAAAATGACCACTTTTAATTGTCAATATATAAACAACATTGCAATAATACATCAATACTTTTGCACGTACCCTTTTAATGAAACGCTGATTATGTATACGTTCTAAATACAAGCGTGTCTGAAAACGTATCAGCTGATTGTGTCTCGCTTTGACGCGCTTTTAAAAAAAAAATACGCACAATTTTATGCCGTGTTCACATTTAGGCGACCATATTTTGTCGATATGGAGAATTTCTGAGCAACCAATCACAGTTCTGTGGTTATTTAAAAAATTACTAGAAAGTAACAAGAAATTACTGTCTGTCTCCCGCCCAATTTAGGGATTCTTTGCGACTGTCAACCTATGTATCGATGAAGCAGAGTCGGTTTGTTGGCTAAATATTTGTCGTGTTTGATGAGTGAAAAACCGCCTTCCCTATTTTCTTTTATCTGTAAATGAGACGTAAACGATAGACACGTTTTATTTCTCTTTGCATCATGTATATTAAACAGGTAATGCGGATAAAATCATGATATTCCAATTTTCCGCGGTTCTTTTCACGAACTGCGCTTCACTTGATGCTTTCTGTGTTTTTTCATTCAGACATGTGAAATCGTTGAATTACATGGATATTATCGTCGAGAGATTTGATATAATTATAGATTACTTTGAATTATAAATTATTGTTGACTCTTGGAGAGTGTTTCATTTAAAATATCGATACTTTGTTATTACAACCCTGTGATGAGATTAGCGACATTAGTTTAGAATAGTCTGATGTCACGCTCATACATTGTTGATTTATGTTAAAACAGGTGATTATTCAAGGATTTAAGTCTTATCGTGAACAGACAATTGTCGAGCCTTTCGATCCAAGGCACAATGTAGTAGGTAAATATCTGGAAATTTCATGTAATTATACAAAATCAATATACATATATATATATATATTATTATATGTAACACTTAATATTTTTGCGCAAGTTGGCAGAAACGGCTCTGGCAAGAGTAACTTCTTTTATGCGATTCAATTTGTCCTGAGCGATGAATTCTCCCATCTTAGACCTGAACAGAGGCAAGCGCTGCTGCATGAAGGAACTGGGCCTCGTGTTATATCTGCTCACGTAGAGATCATATTTGACAATGCTGATGGGAGATTACCGGTAAAGTTTTATTAAAGTACTTTAAATATTATTAAAGCACAAATATTATATATGACTCTTTGTTTCTTTCTTCACAGATTGATAAAGATGAAGTTTATTTGAGACGAGTGATTGGTTCGAAGAAGGATCAATATTTTCTTAACAAAAGATAGTAACGAGGAACGATGTAATGAATTTATTAGAGTCAGCAGGATTTTCTAGATCTAATCCTTATTACATTGTGAAGCAGGGAAAGGTTTGTTGATGTAGTGTATATTTATATTTATCTGCAGTTACATAATTATAACATCTCGCAACAATTGTTTTTAGATAAATCAAATGGCAACAGCACCAGATTCACAAAGATTAAAATTATTAAGAGAAGTAGCAGGTACTAGAGTATATGATGATAAAAGGGAAGAATCAAAGTCCATTTTGAAAGAAACAGAAGGAAAACTAGAGAAAATTGAAGATTTTTTACGAACTATAGGTAAAAATTAAAATTAAAAATTACAATATAGGACAACGAATTAAAAAAATAATTTAAAAAATTGTTATTACAGAGGAGCGTTTAAAGACACTCGAAGAAGAGAAAGAGGAATTGAAAGAGTATCAATTCTGGGACAAACAACGTCGTTGTTTGGAATATACTATCCACGAACGCGAACTCAAGGAAAATAAAAAGAAACTAGACGACCTCGAGAAGTCTAGGGCGAATAGCGGAGCCGAACAGGCGAGATTGGGAGCAGAAGCAAAAACTGCGCAAGAGATGGTACGTGCAGCTACAAAAAGACTAAAGGAAGCAAAAAAGGAAGTACAGACTGCTAAAGAAGAGAGAGATACTCTTAGGTAAAATTCCACACAAATATTATTGCATATACTATCAATAAGAATATAATGGAGAATAATTTACGAATATATTTATATAATACAGTGCAGAGCAACAGCAGTTATTAAAAGAAAAGAACAAATTGACTTTTACTATCAATGATTTACTGGAAGAAGTAAAAGGTGATAATGACAGCAGAAAACGCGCTCAACAAGAATTGGAAAAGTTAAAATCTAATATTAATGAAAAGGAAAAAGAACTAAGCGATCTTAAACCACAAGTAAGAAAATTCAAATATTAAACATTAATTAAGACAACAGATGTGTATATTAATTAAAAATATGTTTATTTCAGTATGATCAAATGAAACGAAGAGAGGAAGAGTGTTTACGAGAATTACAATTAAAAGAGCAGAAACGTAAAGAATTGTATGCTAAACAAGGTCGTGGCAGTCAATTCACTACTAAGGTACAAAAAATACAAAAAAAAAATAATTAGAGAAAAATATCTTATATAAAGACATTTTAGTAAATTGTTTTAATCTATTACAGGATGAAAGAGATAAATGGATTCAAAATGAACTTAAACAGCTCACCAAACAGATAAAGGATAAAGAGGACCATCAGAAAAAAATTAGCGAGGATTTAAAACGCGATGGCGAGAAACAGATTGCTCTGGAAAAGAAGATAGGAGATCACACACGCGAGATGGAACGACAACGTACATCAATAGATGATCATAACAAGCAGTATTACGAACTCACTAAATCGAAGGATCAGTGTCAAGCGACTCGAAAGAACAGTACGTTTTTACTTGATTATAAGATTGTTTTAAAAATAGTGTAGTTATAAAAAGACAATCTTTAATTTTAAATAAATTTCTTAAATTTACAAGATAAATGCATTTATTTACAGATATCGGCAAGAGAGTGTATTGCAATTGAATTTATCTGGTCTAAAGGAAGATTTAGCGAAAGCGGATCAAAGCTTAAGATCCATGGCTGGTAAACCTATTTTGAATGGCAGGGATAGTGTTCGCAAAGTACTAGATACTTTCCGGTATGATTTATCTTTTATGATACATACGATATGAAACTTTTAAAAAGAACATTCTTGAACAGTTCTTTTAAGATCTTATATATCAACATACATATCATATTACATGTACATATACTTAATATCTTTGATTTTATAGAGAACGGGCAGATATGGCTCATGAAGTAAGCAGTTATTACGGGCCTGTAATTGAGAATTTTAATTGCGAGAAGAGCGTTTATATGGCTGTTGAAGTGACTGCTGGAAACCGATTGTTTCATCATATTGTGGAAACTGACAAATTTGGCACAAAGATCTTAAAAGAAATGAACAATCAGCGGTTGCCAGGAGAAGTTACTTTCATGCCTCTAAATAGACTTCATGTGAAGGATATCGATTATCCACAAACTTCTGATGCTATACCCATGATTTCCAAATTGAATTATGATCCTAAATTTGATAAGGCATTAAGGTAAAAGTACATACAAGATAAAAATCATTAAATCAAACTTTCTCTATTCTTTTTTGTTTTTGTGATATATATAGGTATTGATTTGATTTGATACATTATTAATTTTATTTTTGTGTACAGATATATATTTGGGAAAACTTTAATCTGTCGTAATCTGGAAGCAGCTACTACTTTGGCACGAGATTCTGGTTTAGATTGTGTTACATTAGAAGGAGATCAAGTATCATCCAAAGGCTCCTTAACTGGTGGTTATTTCAACACGCTCAGATCAAGACTTGAAATACAGAAAACCAGATCTGAATTAATGTCTCAAATTTCTACCCTCGAGACTCAATTAACGACGCTTAAGGATGAAATTAGAAAAGCGGATCAAAATATCAGTTCTTATGTTAGTGAAATGCAAAAGACCGAAACTAGAAATAGTAAAGCCAAGTAAGTGATTTAAAAGATATTCTATTACATATATAAAATTAGTAAGAATTTGGAATTTTCAAGATTAAAAGTTTTATTTAAATATCGATATTTAAATTCTATTTCATATTTTTATATTTAGTTATTGAAATAAATGTTAGATTTTTATCATACATTTTTCTTATTACAATCAATTAAACAATTTATTATTTACATAACAGAGATATATATGACAAAATGAAAGCGGAAATTCGCATTATGAAGGAAGAGTTGAGCGGGATTGAAAGATGTCGGACACCGAAAGAAAGGAGCCTCGCGCAGTGTCAATCAAGTTTAGAAGCGATGCGTGCGACTAAAGACGGCTTGGAGAGTGAATTACATCAGGAACTTATGGCGCATTTATCCGTCACTGATCAGCGTCAGGTGCGCATAAAAAAAAGAATTAAACATAATTGATCTTTTCGAAAAGATCATATTTCAAATGTACTTTTTCCTATTTTTGATTAAGATTTTAATTTTATTACGATATGATTATTTATAGGTGGATACTTTAAATGACGAGATAAGGCGTTTAACAAAGGAGAACAAGGAAGCATTTGCGAGGCGAATGCAATTGGAAGCAGAAAAGAATAAATTGGAAAATTTATTAACAAACAATTTAGTGAGAAGAAACGATGAGCTGGTTCAAGCTTTACAAGAGATATCTGTTGAAGATCGACAACGACAACTCGACTCGTCCAAGACTCAGTTGGCGGATATTGAAAAGAGATTAATGAAAGTAAACGAAGACATTAAAGGACAGAATGAAAAAGTGACTACTGCTACGAAGAAGGTAAGCATTTACAAATATCGTACAATAATCGCTTGTTATGTATAAATAAAATGTTTAATTGTTATATATTTAAGTAAAAACTATCCACAATTTTCATACTGTTGTGTGTTTAGCAAAAATCAGAGTCTAATGAAGTCGAAAAATGGAAATTGAAAGAAAAAGAAGCACAGGAGAAGATCGAAGCTGATGCAAAGGACTTTGAAAAATTAGCGAGTAAATTAAATATCTTGCAGCAAAAAATAGCGGAATGTACACAAAAAAATTACTGAACTAGGTGCACTGCCGAGTCAAGAAATTTATAATAAGTTTAATAATATGTCCACAAAACTACTTTTTAAAGAAATGGAAAAAGCAAATAACCATTTAAAAAAATATAGGTGCGTTTTTTTATAATAAATTTGCTGTAACAAATTATTGAAACATTATTATTAGAAAATTTATTTAGTTAAATTAAGAATTGTCTCAATGTGTTTATATTTCTTGTTTTTATGTTTTAAATTTTTATATATTTTTTATATTGATTTTTTTCTAGCCATGTAAATAAAAAAGCCTTGGATCAATTCATGTCCTTCAGTGACCAGAAAGAAAGATTAGTGAAACGAAAGGAAGAATTAGATCGAGGTGATGAGAAAATAAAAGAACTCATGTCAGTTCTCGAACAACGCAAGTGCGAGGCGATACAATTTACGTTTAAGCAGGTACAGCTGTTTATATATAACTGTTTAAACAACTGTAGAACATCTATTTAAAGCTTGGTTTTTTTGCATGAAGAATTAATAGTAATATATTTAATTTTTCATAATAATCTATATAGTTTCAAGTACAGTTTTTTATATAACATTTTTTTAAGGTGAGCAAATACTTCAGTGAAGTATTCAAGAAACTTGTACCTTCGGGACATGCACAATTAGTCATGAGAACTGCGGATGGCGACGAAGGAGATGATGGAACAGCGGAACCATCTGATTCTGATAGATTTATTGGCGTCGGTAAGAAAATAAATAAATATATAAATAATTTAAATATTTCTTCTCTCTCTGTAGCATGATGAAACAATTTTTTTAAATTAGTCTAGCAATATTTCATGTATGCAATAATTATATATACATATATATAATATAAATTATTTATGTAAATATTAGCTTGTGAATGCAACTAACAACTTTTATGATATACTAATTTGTTATTCTAGGTATAAGAGTGTCATTCACGGCACACAGAGGTGAAATGCGAGAGATGAATCAATTGTCTGGTGGACAAAAGTCGCTTGTAGCATTGGCCCTGATATTTGCAATTCAAAAATGCGATCCAGCACCATTTTATTTATTTGATGAAATCGATCAGGCATTGGATGCACAACATAGAAAGGCAGTAGCAGATATGATCCACGAGCTCAGTTCGGATGCGCAGTTCATTACTACGACTTTCAGGTAATATTTAATTTAATTAATTTTGATTTTAAAGAAAAAAGACATTTAGAAATTAAGAAATTTTAAAATTATCTTTTGCTGCTTTCAAAATGATTGAATTGTTAAACGTGAGGTAATATGAAAAATGTATTTGTTTCACAGACCGGAATTATTGCATCATGCGAATAAATTCTACGGGGTAAAGTTCAGAAATAAAGTTTCGCATGTTGAATGCGTGACGCAGGAAGAAGCCGCCGATTTTGTCGAGGACGACACAACACATGGTTAAAACATAGAAATATCTTATTCAGAAATTATCTCATGTATGAAATTATTTTTCAGTAATGAATATCAATGATTAATTTTTTATTTTAATTTTTTTCATATTAGTGATTTTTATAAATTTGACATTTGAGATAATATATAAAGAAAAAGAAACAGAATTTATTTTTACGTTCAACATTTTTGAATTTGTATTATGTATGCAATATGCAAATTGTATGAATTAATAATGAAAGAAAGACTGTATATGTCGGTGTAGTATAATATATTATGAATTACATATTATATCACAAAGTTTATAAATAATATAAAATGTATAGCATAAATGACTGCATTTGATATTTGATTTTTCAAAAGATTATAAGGATATCACAAATATATATATATATTTGATTTAAAATTTTTATATATGTAGTTATTTTTTATATTATAAACTTTATAGGATATAAAGACTAACTAATAAGTATTATAATTGGTTTGCACGACGAAAAGTCGTGGAAATAACTATATTATTGTCTAAGATAGTTTTTAAAATAAATATGTAGAAAAGATGATAAGAAGAAAATGTTCCAAAGTAAAAGAGAGAAATTTGGTTTAAAAAGAGATTTATTTATTTGAAGCACTCTTGTCGTATTATTTGTTGCTTTAATCATGCTTCGCATTCATCATATATGATATAATTAATTTTAGATTAAAAACTAAGCAACCTTATTAAAATAAATGTTAGCTGGTGCTCATATACAGAAATAATTCCATTTTACTATTTTAAAGGATTAATGTTTTTTTAGATGACTTTTGTTCCTAAAATATAATAATTACACTATTTTGGTACTGATATTCATGGCTCAGCCATTGGATTATGCGAGTTTTTTTATAAGTAAATATTACATATTTTAAGAATTCACACAGCTTCCCACAATTACACTTTTTTTTGTTTGCACAAAGAGTTTCACGTATATATGTATATATTAGTATACATATGATCACTATGACAAGTCTCGTAGTGCAAAAGTCATCGATGACACTAAAGGCCACTGTATTTGCACGAAAGGATGTGTACAACGTAACTTCTATTGCGAATGGCGCTTTGAACACAGATTTTAAGAGCAAGTTGATAAGTATCCCAATAGCTAATGTATCTGCAATACATGAATGCGAATGTCCTTAATATCAAAGGAACTTGATAGCAAAATTTCATTTCTTTTATTACAGCTATATGTATATGTTTTCAGTTCCTTACGTCTTCAATGGATAGCTATGAGACCAGATTCCAAAAGTTTTTGTAACTTTGCAGCTATATCAGGATTTTTCAAGTGACTACAAAAAGAAAAAAACATTATTAATATCCACATTAATAAGAGAAAGGAGATAAATTATTTTGGAAAGAATATATTACTTCCTAATTTTCTCTGATAGGAAGATATTAGAATATATGTATTATTTTTCAATAATTTGTGTATTTTTAAGAATTAATATTAAATTATTTTAATAAAAAAAAAAATACACACAAAATAAATACAAAATTTTTTCCAAAACGAATGATTAAATGATAAATTAAGTAATATCTAAATCAATAGATATACTTACTCTTGTAAAGCTCTTGGATCTTGTTGCATTTGTTCTAAGATCATCCTCATGGCCGGATCTCGCAATATACTTTGGACTTCAGGATCCGCCATCGCTCTTTTTCTGACCTCTTCTGGATTGGAACTAGCTGATACCGCGCAAGAACGATAGCCCTCCAACGCTTCGCTGTTTTGTGGATCCAACTCCAGAGCCTTCTGATACGCCGTCAAAGCTTTCCCCTGCTGCTGCATGGCTTGCAGAATCTTTCCTTTTCTAATCCAACCCTTGATGAACTTTGGATCCAGCTCAACGACCTTCTCGCAGTCCTTCAGGCCGAGATCGAACGCCGCCAATTTGGTGTAACAAGCCGCTCTATTACTATAATATTTAGGATCGTCCGGGTTCCTTAGAATCGCCTCGGAATAATGCTTTATAGCCGCGGGATAGTCACCGTCTTTGTACTTTTGATTACCGAGTTCCTTCTCCTCTTCCGCTTTCACTGGGTCAACATAGGCTTTTCTCTCCTCTTCCTTGATTCTTTTATCTATATCTGACAATAAAGTCTTAATTTCCGGCGTTCTGTGCTCGGACATGGACTTTTCATAATACACTTTGGCCTGCTTCCAATTCTCCATCTTCTTGTAAGCGTGGCCGATTCTCGTGAACGCTTTAGCTATTAATTTGAAATCCGCTCTGTTTTCTCTACCGACCTCGATTGCTTTCTCGCACTGTGCGATACATTTCTGATACTCCTTCTGCTCGAAGTACACCGCCGCTATATTTAGCAGATAAACGATCTCTGTCGAGTCTAATTCTACGGCCTTGTTGTAATGTTGCAGAGCCTCCTCGAAACATTTCTTCTTATAAGCTTCGTTACCCAGTTTCTTTTCCTCTAAAGCTTTTCTCTTCTCGGGTGGAAGATTGTCCTCCTCCTTCTTCTCTGGCTTCGGTTCTGGTTTGGGTTTCGGCGGTTCCGGTGGATTCATCGGTTCAGTCTCCATAGGCTCGTCCATAAATTCATTCCTCATGAGCACCCCAATAGTATTGAACACTCTAGGGTCCTGGAGCTTGGTACTGATAACCTGTGGATTGGCTCGCAGCTCCTGCAATAGCTTCAGATAGTCAGGGTCGGCCAGGTATTTTCTCGTTGTGGGATCAGCCGCTAGCTTCTCATATATATGCGGCGAGTTGAAGGGATTCGCTGCAGCGGCTGTTCTCTGAGCTCTTACTTCGGCGATGGAGTTCTTGAGTTGCTCGTTGTTGGGATCCAACTGTAGACCCTTCTGGTAAGCCTTGATGGATTGGTTGTACATGCCTAGGTACGCCAGAGCGCTACCCTTGCGCGAGTAGCCCTTTCCCCAATCCGGCTTCAAACTGATGGTCTTCTCCGCATCCTCCAACGCCTCCTGATACTTGGCGGCTTTCGCGTAAGCCGCCGAGCGATTGCTGTAGAGGACGTGATTACTGCTGTCCAGGCCGATCGCTTCTGTGTAATGCTTGATGGCTTCATCAAATTTACCTTCTTGCAAAGCAACATTGCCGCTCTCCTTCAGCGAAGCCACCTGCAAAGCGATAGGTTTAAGTACTTAAGTTTTTGAAGAATATACATTATATTGCAAATATTATCTAAAAATTGTAGAATGCCTTTGATCACCAATCTATGGATATCAAGTTTAGTTTATAGTTGTTATTTACTTTTAATTTAGCTCCATTATTTTTCTATTATGATTCCTATGAAAGAAAGAAGTAAACAAAGTAAGATGTGTCTTCCAAGGGGAAGTTTAGGGTTCAAGAGGATTATCGAAGATCAAGAGAATAAATTTATTAGTGTCTTGGAGGTTCAATACTCCAGTTTTTAAGGAATATAAATTATGTATAATATATATTGTAAATGTCATCTAAAAAATGAAGAATCTCTTTGATCACCAATCTATGGATAATATCAAGGGGTTAGTTTATAGTTGTTATTCATTTTTAATTTCGCCCCATTATTTTTCTGTTACGATTTCAACGATAAAAAGGAGTAAACAAAGTAAGACGTGTTCCGAGGAGAAGTTTAAGATTCAGGAAGATTATCGAAGGTCAAGGAAATGAATTTATTTGTCAGGAGAAGCGTCCTCGAGGAAACACGATGCTTACACATTTCTTTCTTTCTCCCTCGTTATTCTCGTTCGAAAAATTCACAGCTGTTCGCATTTACCTTATCAGCCATTGTTGTGTCCACGAATGCAAACGATATTCCGTTATCTTCGGCTCCTCGTGCTAGAAAGACACGATTCTTAGGATACGATGACTCGTGCGAATCTTCGCCTTCGCGAATCTTCTCTCGTGGTGTATTATATTATATTCACTCGCGTGTGCCGGCGCTGATCTCGGAAGGCTCTGGAAACAGAAATGAACGAGTAGCGACCTCTCTGCGATTTATCGCAACTAGAACGCGACACGTTGCTCCCTTCGATAATTAAAAAGAGATTATATTTTTTTTTCTTACATGATAAAGAATTATATCTTGTCAAATAAAATAAAAAAATGAATACAAAATTTTATATATAATTTATTACATATTTTTTTGATAATTCTTCTCGTCCGAAATATTTCTCCTTGTATATATATATATATATATATATATATATGTGTTATTAATATAAATATATTATTAGAATAATTATTTATAAAATAAAATAAATATTTATAAAAGAATAAATATTTATAGAATTACTATTCTGCTATAGAAAGCAATTAAGAAAAGAGTTTCTATAGAAAACAAGAAAAGATATATATATATAGAATATAAGAAATATAAAAATATATATATATATATATATATATACTATAAATATAGAAAAAAATGTGTATATATATATATGTGTATGTGTATTTGTATCATGTGTATATGTATGTAGATAATTATGCAAACGAACGTTCTAGCATGCTTGACATTGAAAATTAGCATGTATATTAATTTTTTCTTATAACACAAAAACATTTAAAAAATTCAACGCTTTTTGTCTCAAGTTAAAAATAAAGAGAGATTAAACTTTAACAATAAACGTGATATCAAAAATGTGACTATCAAAAATGATATCAGTCATCAATAAACCGTTGCGTACAATACATTTCTTTGTAATTGTTAATGAGAATTTGTGTTAAGACACAAAACTGCGAGAAAATCTGAATAATATCATGTCAGAAATTTTTTGCACATTACATAAAATATGTATAATTACGTAAAATATATTATGTTATGTAAAATATAAAATGCATTTCATTCTCTTAATATTAATAAAGATGATTCTCGGATAACATTATACTTATATAATCTCTGTATTTACGTTCAATTACGTTCGCGTTAATTAACGTTAATCGCACTCTATTCCAAAAATAATATATAGTTTCAATAGTTTCATATGTCTTTCATTTTTTAAATGACAAAACATATTTCTCAGAAATTTTTCGCGCTAATCATCACGTGCTATCATTATATACAAATATTATTATTTGTCTATAAATAAATTAAAATACAATATATTATAATAAATTAAAGTACAATATATCTAATCGGAAAAAATATAACAGATGTGTTTCTCGCACTTTTTATAGCGACACAAACACTTCGCTCTCAAGTCGATTCACATATAATTTTTCGAGAGCCAGATACTTTCTTTTTCAAGAACGCGAACTATAATTACTCTGTGCTTATGGAGGCTCAGACGAAAGAGATTTCATTTCTCCCGACATCCAAATATACCCCAAAACCTGCACAGGGATTCTCCTCTCTATCCTCTTCTCTCTCTCTTTCTCTGTAGCTCAAACTCCCTCAAAAAGGAATAAGTTCACGCGAGCTTCTTGGAATGCCTAGACTATTACACGAAACTCGAAATAACACAGCGCGACCGGTCTTTGCTCTACATTTTTACGTCGCTATTTCTGATTTAACCGCGTTGTTTCATTTGCGTCTAACGCTTCTAAAAAATACATCATTACGTCTGTGTGTTGTCGCACAAGTTGTATAATATATATTTTTCTATATTAATAAATACAATAATTATTCTAATAATATCTATATTAACATATGTTTTTTGTATAACGGGGAAAAATATTTTGGACGCGAAAAGTTAACAAAATATATTGAATATTGTATATAAAATATTTCGTATATTCATTTCTCCCTTATATATATTTTTTATTTTATAAAATATTAGATATTATTAATAGTAAATAATATTTAATAGTAACTACTAGAGAATTCAAAATTGAGATTGATATTTTCTTCGACCAAAACCTGGCATGTAATTTGAATGTTCCTTTATTAATTAAAACAACGTTTCGACCATTAAATTTTTTTAGTCTTTGTCAAGTGTTTTTAATAATAATTCACTTGACTGTGTGTCCTTATGACATTATTTAATAATAACTTACTTGACTGTGTGTCCTTATGACATGTTTAAATCTATTTCTACTAATAAGATGAGGCTCTGCTTAGACAAGCAAATGACTTATTATTAAACACTTGATAAGGACCAAAAAATTTAATGGTCGAAACGTTGTGTTTTAATTAATAAAGGAACATTCAAATTACATGCCGGTTTTTGGTCGGAAAAAATATCAACCTCGATAATATATTATTCATTACGCAGGAAACAAATATTCTGAACACGCAATATCTCTCTCTCTCTCTTTCTTTTTCTTATTATGTTTTTTTTCCTTTAAACCTATATCTCCTATTACGATGTGGGAATTTCCAGATTTCCTCGTGGGAATAGGTTGACCCATCTCCAACCGATATCGATTTCGTATAATTTTTTGTGTCGTTAATAATAATGTCAGACCGAGGAAAAATAAATAACATAACTATTATATATATACGTATATAAAGCGTTGAAGTTTTTGCGATACATTTTTTTATTAAAAATAATTGTATAGCTTTTACATACAAATGTAACAATAATGATATCATCGTCATCGCGCGTTGTAGTTGTTATTAATATATTTCATGACAGTGATACACTTAGACGACTCTATATCAAAAGATAGCTATATGTACAGAAAATAATTAGAATGAATTTATGAGTGTCGATGGAAGCGATCTTATACTATTAAATGAACACCGATCCGGTTAATGTTTGTTGTTTGATAAACATCGTACCGTTCTGGATCTCTTTTTTCTAATATAAATATATCGTATATATATATATATAGTATTATTTGCACATTAATTATGATTAGAACTAATAACGTATAATCGTACAGCTACAAAATCGCACGTGAAAACACGAATTTAATTATTCCTTCTCGATTTAAAGTTTATTTTGTACATACAGTCACACATCCGTTCCGAATGGGGAACTTCGAATCTCTATAAAATTCTCTGTAAAATTACGCATATTAGCTAAATATCAGATATTCCATTCTCGCATTCTATAATTATTCTTTTCTCTGACATTCATAGATTTTTTGATATATATTTTTGTAAAATCAATATTCTTATTGAAATATGCATGTCCTTTGCATTATTTTTGCAACATTCTCTCGAAACATCCTATGTACCACATACAGGATGTTCTGCATATCCGCAGAAAATTAATAAAAAGAGAGTAATAGAATATTCGTTAATATTCTGAGATCTTAACTTTCATTCTTTAGCTTATCTCGCACGTATCGCTATCAATTCGAAAAAACGACGCGCAAAATCAATTAAGCGACTGAGTAAATAAGAATGCAATTTTTATATCTTTTTTTTTCGGACTGACAAACTTTAGCATCCGTTCTAATTGTCCGTCTCAATTTGTCTGATAAAGATGATTTTATAAGCGCGTTTATGCAACTCCAGGACATTTTTTTATACATATTATATAGCGTGCACTCTTTCTCTCGGTAATTGATCCGGTATTTGATCGACTTACGTTATTTATTTGGACATTTCTCTCCCCTTCAAACTTTCAATATCTGCACGTTTTTCAGTTGGAGAATATTTGTCGTAGATACGTAATTCGGCTCGTCGTCGCTGCTCTCGGAGTCCGAATCGGGCAACGGTTCCGCTTTCGCGCCGTGTCGCAGCAGCTCCCTGGCGAGCTGTCTATCGGTGTAAAGAGCCAACTGATAAGCCGTCAGACCGCTGTACGTCTTCGTATCCAGACAGGGCTCGCACTCCTTCAGCAGGAAGGTGATTATTGCCCAGCATTTGCGTTCTATCGCGAGATGAAGTGCTGTTCTGCCTGCCAAGCACTCCTTCGCCTCGAGATCGGCGCCGAGACGCAGCAGAAGACGCACCAGGTTCACGTGTCCATTGATCACGGCCACGTGCAAGCACATTTCGCCTGAAATCAAAATCAAGTATATGAAATCAAATGATACGCCGATATTTCGCTATTTTATGAATTAATTTCCATATAATTATTTTAGATTTTTTTAGACTAATTTTTTAAATAAAATTATTTGTTTTTTTAGCTTGATAATGTAGTAAATAAAAAAGTAGTTTTTTGAAATAATTTTAAAGAAATTTTACAAAAAGCACTTTCAGGATGTTTAAATTTGATAGAAAAAGTTCCCCCATAAAACATGAAACAAAAAATAATTTATTATAAACGTCTCAAAGAACATTAATTTATTTAAATATTAAAAAATTGAACAATCTTCTACGAAATTTATAATTTATATAAAATCTTAATATACTAGAAATAGATTGTCAATCAAAAAAATCACAACAATTTTAAAAGAAATTTAAATATTACCTAGATATGTTAGACATATATTTAGTGCTAAATAAGAATAAAATTAACAAGGGGATAATTATTTTTTAAATTTTTAATCAAATTCCACGAGAATACTAGATTTTCAAGGACTTTCCCAGGAATATTCACCCTGACTTTGTAAATTGTAAAATTCTAAAAGTAGAAATTATTAACACTTTCTACATTTATGTATATCTCTCTATACCCTATATATGTGTTCAGTTCCATAATTGAATAATCGACTTGTATCTGTATCTTCCGACTTTCCCATCATCTTCCCCGATGAAGACCGGGACTCGGGGGTGCGATGGGGAGTCGCATACCTCGGCATGTCGCGAGATATAGATAGAACAAGGAAGACACGGTGAATCATTATCGTCGGAGAGGCTTTCGCTGGCGTCCCGCGGTCCAAACTAGGCCCGCGCCGATCAAAGCGACTTCTAAAATTAACCGCGCCGCGTTACCATAGTCTCATTGGCGGAAATTTCACATTGCACGTACATTTCACTTCCGCTGGCAAAAGTATTCCCGTAGAATCACAATCATCAATCATTCAGGTAAACTTGATAGTCTAGTCGCTTCTTGTTTTCATTTCGCGTAAGAGATAGAATCTCGATTGCGGAAATGCTGATGCTGACATTGAAGGAATTAATAATGGTACCCACTCATTTCCAATTACGGTTGTCAGTGCCAGCTGCCAACGAAAGATCGTTAATTCAATTTAAATTAGATCATCGGGCGTTGGTTCAAGTTCAGAGTGACATCTTGCGCTACTGCATGACATTACGTAAAAAAGTCTCCACAAAATTCCGGAGAAATTCGCGTCGAAAATACCGTGCACGAAGTTCGTGGATGTGATTAGAGTCGGTTACGAGGGAGAATCGATTTGTTTAAGGGTGAAAGTCTGCCGGAAACCACTGGCGTCGACGCCGCTGTGGGGTTTCCCGACCGAGCTGAGCCGAGGCGAGAATATCGAGCAGCATGCAAATACGTCTCGCGCGCGTGTATTTTTAAATATCAAAAACATTTGCCCTCTCTCTCTCTTTCTGTGTCTCCTCTCCGGTTCTTGCGGCGTCGCGACGCGCCGCGTGATGTAACGCAAGCGTAAGAAATGCTGCCAAAATTCCATCGTGCATGCAAAACATTCTCAATGCTACGAGTTATTCTTCACCAAGAGATTTCCCTGCGCTTTCAATCATCGGTTACGATAAGCTTCGGATGTAAATCAACGCGTCTGTGCACGCTAGAATTAGAGACGAAAATCATTGAGAAATAAATAAACCAGTTTTGCATTATCATATTAATAATAACTATATAATTATTATCTAAATTATTATATATATATATATATATATATATAATTTATATATTATAATTATTATTAATATTATATATTGGCAAAAATTAATTTATGTAAATCAAAACTAAAAATAAAATAATAATAATAAAAATAAAATAATTGTATGTTTGAAGAAATAAAATTACAAACTTGCTTCTACAAAAACATAAGCTTCATCTAATTTAGATTGTGATGTCACAAATACCTAATTGTTTTGAAAGCGATCATTTAATATCGGAACTGAAAGCTCGTGTATTGAGAAGATTAATGAGAAGATAAAATAAATTCGCTGGAATTTTATGAACGTCGCTAGTAATTGCCCTCGGATTCGATTAATCAGTCGTCATTTCAGAAAGATCGGTTGCGTTTTACGTGCATACATCTGCGTTACACTCGTGCGGCCTGAGCTTGCAACGGAATATGTGCCGATGACGTTATACGGGATTTCCAAGACTTAAAAAGTCTGTGAACATTTCACGACGAACGACCGCCGACTAGAGTCATTTTCTCTTTCTCTCTCTAAATTCCATTGAAGATTCTAGTTTCAGAAGAGAGCACGCGAAACGAGGTCCAACACGCCTTCGGGCTTCTTCCCTCTATTCCTGCTTCTTCCTAAAGATTTAGTTATTTAGAAAAAAAAAAAAATATATATATATATATATATGAATATATATTTTGTGTACATTTTTAAAAATAAAAAAGTTTTTGCAATTTTTTAAATCGTATTTTTATTAAAAATAGAGCCTTTCTTTCTTTTACTAGAGCAAAAGAAGAAGGAGGAAAAAGAGAGTCTCTGACAACAAAGTCTTGTGATTTATGTAAGTGCTGTTTTCAGAGGAATTTTTTCTAAATTTCCTTGAAATCTTTGCCGATAAATATTTCCGCATTGCCTCTGTAATATCGGACACTAAACTAAAATTTCGTAAGAAGCTCGCACGTAATCGTTCGTCATCGGGCAATAATGATCAATTAAATTAGCACAAGTATACTTCCTATTTACAATTTCCCAGAAGGATTAAATCTTATAATCAAGAAGTTCGAATGACGATAATTGTAGGAATTTTCATTGCTAGCTTATTAATATCGAAAAATCTATCAGTAAAAATTAAAGAAATCAATACATACAGATAAGGTTGTTACATCTGATGAAAGAGAGATCTACTCGGTGACTCTTGTGTCTCAAGCGTCAAAATTTTAAATAAAAGAGAAAAATGTATTGGCTCATTAATTCGAGGATTCAATCTGCTTCGATCACATTTATCGGATTTATGATGATAATAAGTCACGATCGTCTACCTACGCGGTCAAGATCACGACTCGATAACGGATGTATGCGAGAAATATGCACATATTCGTATTCACCTGGGAAATCCCCTTGTGCCACTGTGACGAAAATTCATCTTTAGATAAGGCGAACAGCATAATGGTGCGCGACCTCGATTCAAAGTTTTACAAATATACGATAAAGTTCTGGAGAATAATATGCTGTATATTATTTTCTATTTTTTTAAAGTTACAAATGTCTTTTAAATCTCTCTTCCTATTTCGCTCCACGCTAAATTAAATGAAAAATGCAACAGAGACTATTACTTCTATCTCCATCTCATTCTGAAGTAAATTTTGCAAAAAATTTGCTTCTACTTTTAATCACCTTTAATTTATACATAAATCGTTCGCATCTCGATGTTGAAAAAAAGTTTATTTCGAATTAATGAAATGATTCAGCGTTGGAATATATGTATATAAATGTCGCTCGCTGTATAATGGCACTATACAGTTTTTAAAATTCAAATGACCTCTCGATTAATATTTCTTTTTCAAAAGGAATATCCTCTGACGTTATTGAGACGACGGAACTCTCAAACGTGAAGGCGAAAAACATTTACAATGAAATTATGGAAAATATACGCACATGTAATATCGTCGTTTATTGCGCGAGCTTTACATTAAAAAATTCTACGTCGATGTCCTTCGTTTCGCGGACATGGATTAATTTCCTCGCAATAACGTTACTGTGACTGACAGTCATTAAGTTACAAATAACTGTCCATAATCATAGACACCATTAAGCAATATAACACGTACTTAAAGTTCCTGGATCCTCACTGCGGTCACATCAGATTGTGACGTCAGAGGCGCGAAAGCACACGTTGACAATTCTTAAATGTTATTTTCAAATAAAAAGATATTTCGACGAAACACTATTTCAGATGGCTTTAGCACACTTTTAAAATACCACAAAAACTATTCTTTTCCCTTGACAATCAATCGACAACAGTTGATTAATTATAAAGGGAAAAGGATAGTTTTCAAGAGATATTTTAAGAGTGTGTTAAAGCTATCTCTCTGAAGTACTGTTTCATCGAAATGTCTTTTCATTTCGAAATGGCATCTAAGAATTTTTAGCGTGTTTTCTCGCCTCTGACGTCACAATTCCAACGTGATCGATGAGGAGCCTCAAAACACAAGTCTTTGCACGCGAGCACCCTGATAAACCTTTTTGCCTTCTGTTCTTAGGTCTTCTTCTCTATTAAAACCTATTGTTTTGCAGCTTTGTCGAATGCTTACCGTTATAATTGATTTGCTCCAAGTTCTGAGGCAAAGCGGGCACTTTCTGCTCGGGTATCAGTTTATTCCTCTCCATCGGGTACAGTGGATCCGTGAGAGCTTTAGCGCAAGCGAGATCTCCGCTCGCGCAAGCCAGGTGCAGAGCCGTGTTTCCACGGAAATTTCTCAAGGATAGATCCGCTCCCGCCAGGACCAGACGTCTAACAATTACTGGTTGCTGCGTCAACACCGCCAAATGTAAGGGCGATTGTAGGTGGTCGTTCATGATGTTCAATAGACGTGGATGAGGCGCTAGACTTATCAAAATTAGCGCAGCCTGCACGTAGCCCTGCATGATTGCGATGTGCAATTGCCTGTGTACAGAATAAATATACATTAGACTAAATTACATAAAACTGGATGTTTAAAGTCTCAGCGAGAGATTTTTAAAGCATTATCTTGTAATATTTTTATTTATCAATCTTTAGTGCTATTATTATTTTTCTATATTTTTTTATTTTCAGTCCATTAGTATTATTTTTTTATATGCAATAATTATTTAAATAATTGAAAAATAATTAAAAAATGATTACATCTCGTTTCTGCGTAATTATATATAGTGTCAAACTTCTTTTCAGTGTAAATAAAAAAACAGTATATACAGTTCCTTCTATTTGCATTATTGTATAACTTGGTTGTTCAATTTCTTTGAAGATCTTTAAACGGAAGAAGTTTGTTTCATTGAGCCGGTCATTGAGCGCTCCCTCGCAAGTTAAATATGCGTATAAAGCACTGGATTTACGTAAACGTTGACGTGTTACGCATAATGATATTCACGCCTGAATCAATGTACTCGTAAATGCTCGTAAACAAAAAAGAACAGCTCACCATAATGATATGATGTTATAGATAATTTGCTTGATAATTCGATCAGTTCACACGATTCAGAAACAAAACTTATATTCTGTTTTTTTCTCTCACGCATTTTCCAAAATATAACATAAAGCTGAAAAATATCTTACATATAAACACATTTAAACATATACATTTTTGAGATTCTTTTATTTTGAAAATTGAATTAAAAATCCTAAATGATGTAATTACTGTATATATATTTTTCTCCAAGATTTCAAAATATTAAAATTTTGTTATACTCTGTTTAATAATTGTAAATATATTTTGAATAAGTCTAATTAAAACAGAGATAAAATAATTTTTTTCGACTTTAATAAATCCAGAAGAGATTAAACTTTAAAAATGTTAACGGGGGAAATTAGAAAGAAAAACAAGATTAAATTAAAATCTTTCTGCGAATTAATTTTAACGAGATAAAAATATAATTACATAAGTTCATATATCTTACGTCATATTATTTAACAAGCTAATCTTTGAATTATTATTCTGACTAGCAAAAATTGCTTCCTGTAATAAAAATCAAAATTATTCAACGATTTATACTCTAAATATACTAATTTATACTATAAATATAATCGTGTGTCTATTTTTGCCGATGTCACACAACTATGTCATGAATTATTTTAATTTTAACACGGCACGCGCATTAAAAAAGAATCAATTGATCGATAAGTAAAATGACTCCAAGATCAACGAGATAATAAATTACATTGGTCGATAAATATCGCAATAGGACACTCACGTGTCACCATCGCCATCCTTGGAATAGAACTGCCAGAGATCCTTGTTGATCGTCAAGCACTGATCGTCATCAACGTCACCTTGTCGACGCTGCTCTCCATCTATCACACGAGCATCCACGTGTGACAGCTCGAGGGTCTTCGACTCGGACTGAATTAATCTCCCACTCAGGGTGAGCCGGTCCAGATCGTCGCTGAGTTCGACGTCCACGACGCCGCTGTCGGATGTCCTGATTGATTCCTTCGTTGCCATCGAGGACGAGGAGGTCGTCGCCGCTTCCGGCATCATCGGAGCGACTTCCTGCTGCAAACAACCCCTCGTCTGTCCTGGAATCTCCCCGCTGAATTGTACATTGCCGACCGACAGGAATCCGGAGTCGTCGTTACTCGTCGTTGCCAATCCGCTGTCATCTCGCTGCTTCCTGCCATCATCCTCTCGTTCCTCTATCCGAGCGATCTTGCTCGGAGAGTACCACATTTTTCGATAAAAAGATTTTCTGTTCGATCCCAAGATTCCAAAGGAAGGGTAGCGTCTCTGAAAAGCACCGCTGAAATTTAATAGAGCTCTTATCACGCGCGTAATTCGACGTGATACTCTTCAGGATCTTCGCCTTTGTTGTCGTTCAGTTTCCAGGATGATGGCTATTGTCGTTCGTCGATGCATATATTTGACATTACTTATGAGGTCCCTTTCTTCCTGCTCCTTCGCTCCGTGTTAGCATTGTTCATTTTCCCGAGATGGATATCCGTTCTATGTACCTTCCTAGACTCTTCTATCCTCCAGCTCTGTTTCGCACGACGCTCTTCACCGCATCACGGAAGATATTCGCCTGTCAGCGTCAGCTGATCCTGGTCGCGTGAACGGAAGACGGCCTGGTCGATTGATTCGTCGTCGTGACGTTGGATCGTGGACGTGGGAAGGTTGACGAACCTCATCGTCCCGCGTCTCGAAACAAACTGATCGGTAGCAAGCGTGTAAATAACGACGTGCATATCGTAGACGCGTAAAATACGTCGTCCATCACGTGACCGACCTCGACAGACCCGTACGCACCTCTTCCTGAGACTCCTGTAGAATTGATATCATGAAAGAAAGCATAATATATATATTTATGCAGCGACTTGGATTACGATAAATGAATACAGATTTGATTTACCATTTCTTATTTAATGGAGAGAATTCTATATAGATGTTACCTACTTATTTCAACATTGTGTACCGTCTCTCCTCGCGAAGGGTCTGACGAAGCCTCTTATAAATGAAATCTATACAGGACTGAGGTCTGAATAGCGTCTGCTGGCGCGTCCTCTAATGCACATGCGCTGCTTCGCTCTCTCAAACAGTACGATGGAGCCTCCAGCAATAAGTTCCAAGCTATACAGCCGCAAAGTAGGGATGGGAAAAACCCATCGGTCTCGGGCAGGGCTGGCCGGAAGGTATATCGCTTCGATGCCTTCCATTTCCGTAATTTCGAGAGCAAAATATTTTGCATTATTTTAGAAGTACCGCTACTTTGATAAAAGTCTATGAAATGTTCTCACTGAAATCTTACACAATGTTTGAAATAAAATTAAAAATGAGAGACGATATATATACAATTAAATTACAAAAATTAGGCATTTATTTTTGTTATTTTATATTAATATTTGTATTGAAAATGTAAGGTATGCATAGATATAACATACCAAGATTTTTCTAGAGTGAAGATCTCTCTTTCTTACAAGATACCATATATCATCGACACTCGAGCGTGAGTTCATATAATTACATGTTGGAAAACATATTCAAATGAAAGCCTACACGGTTCTTCAATATTTAATTACGCTGGAAAACTGTCTCTTCATCCGCAGATGAAGCTACTTAAAGAAGAAATAAGTTCGCCAACTTCTTGGAATGCCATTATACGACGTTCAAAATAACACATGGCGATCAATTCTTGCTCTACATTCGCGTTTTACATTTCCAAAAATCCCGTTAAGTTTATTACCTGCATCTTTAAGAGCCTGTTAAATAAAATAATCATTTTATAATCTTGTTAAATAAAGGAGAAGATAAATTTTTTCTTTCTTGTAAAAACTTACGTAATCGATCTTCCTAAAATCATCGGGATATTGTGTATACTTTTATTCTATGCATGTATTGTCAAATGACTAATTAAAGTGACTGCAATTGAAGAGCAGCACAAGACAAGGAATTGACATTTCCGTTTTTGAAATTATTTCAGACAGACATCTTTGCGTTATTTCCCACGTCACTATATTCCGTGCCTGTAAACACGAAGATTATATAATGAAAAAAAAAGATCTAATTTCGAATAGATAAATTGTAATACAAAAAATACTTTTTTTATATTTCTAAATTTTCTACAGATTTTCTACAGAAAAATAAGTTCTCAAGACTACAAAAGAAAGATGATAGAATAAAGAATAAATTCTAAGGAAGAGATACTCAGATTAAAGGAAACAGACAAAGAATACGACAGAGAGAGAGAAAGAAAGAGAAATTGTATAACATGTTTTTTTATTAAAAATAATTATATAGACTATATATATATATATATACTAATATAACAATAATGATATCGTCATCATTCCTGTTATTAATATACCATGACAATGACATATATTCATGATTCTAACGGAAGGTGTCTAAGTACAAGAGGTGAAAGGAATTAACTAGATGGAAGTAATTACATACCACTACAATGAACACTGATCCAATTAACGTTCATCATATTGTTCTGGACCTTTTTTTGATACGCTGATTATAAATATATATTATACAAGTCGCACGAAGAGAATGTGGATTTCATTGATTCCCTCCGACTTAAAATGTATATGTTCTATGTATGTTTCATGTCTATTCTATGATCTCTGTAACGAGATTTTTCTTCAAGAATATTCGCGGATTCGCGAAAACGTACTCCTCTATTTACAACCGTAAAGTATCGCTATTGGCTAAGCACAAATATTCCATTCTCGCTTCGTCACAACTAACACACGTCTCTCAGAACTGATACACCTATTGTTCATCAGATGCTACGTTCAAACATTCTCGTTAAAATATACGCTGTCCTTTGTATTATTTGTACAGCCTTTCTTGGAACACTCTGTACAACACTCGGAACACTGCTGCTTGTCTAGCACGGCTCGCTAAGGATTACTTACAAAGGGGAAAAGCGAACGACCGGAGCTGGGATAGCTCGCGCCTACGTATTGTCGCTTCGTTCGTAATCGGATATAGTTCGTTGTAAGTTCGTTTCTGAGATCCTCGATTTCGAACTGAGATACTCGTTCGTTCATTCATTCATCCCTCAACTTGCACATATTGCTGCCGATATCGATTTAAAAAACCGTATACAGTCTACTATATAGTAGTAATACTTGTGCCTCGTTTCTATGCTCGCGCATTATATGTATGTTATGTAACAATCTCGTTTTATTTCCTATTTGTTTAGCTGGCGAATCCTTTCACTTTTCATTATGAATCTTAATCCATCCAGCAGATTAAGGTGACGTTACAAAGTTTCGAAGACACTGAATTTACTTGTGCATTAGATGCACAAAACCATTATCATACGCCAAATGCATTTTTTATCTACCATTTTTCATTCCAATTATTTATCCCGATGTCTTTTCAATATATCAATATGACGTCGTCCAGCGCGTCAAAATTCGAGCTGCAATTTTAATAATTTAACAAATCCAATTTTTCTGTCCAAACAGTAATTATCATTCGCTTAACAACTTCGTCCCATTAATTAAGATAATTTCACAAACTCAAGATAACTTTATACGAAAGATAAGAGAGCCGCGAGACGTACTTTCATAATTTTTTTCTTACCTGACAAGAGTTTTTTTTATTCACTGTATAAAAGTTATCGCCTTAATTCGACTAATAAATTAAAATGATTCCGCAGAGACGCGATTTGAGAGAGATCTTCGCAGCGCGCACTCTTTCTATCTTCTCTCCAACCGACTATCTGGCGCCCAAAGACGCCGAATGAATTAATGAATAGATTACTGACCGAGGTGAAATAGATTTTAGACAGTCACTCCGACCGTGGTTTGCGCCTTGACAATCGCGGGCAGGTAATCCGCCGTCCACAAGGACCTCTCCGTATCTTCGTCCTCGCTGCTCTCGGAATCCGATTCCGGCAGCGGTTCCGGGGTCGCGCCGTGACGCATCAGCTTCCTGCGGGCCTCCTTGGCGAACCCGCTGTGCGCGTCCAAGGTCAACTGATAGGCCGTCGTGCCGCGGTACGTTCGCTCGTCCAGACACGAGGTTCGCTGACACTCCGGCAGCAGAAGCTCGAACACCGGTCGACATTCGCGCTCCACCGCTAGATGAAGGGCCGTGTAACCCGCCAGACCCTCCTTTGCCTTGATGTCGGCGCCTAGGCGCAGCAGAAGTCGCACCAGATCCGCGTGTCCGTTCGCGGCCGCCACGTGCAAGCACATCTCGCCTGAAATCAATGGAAAAAGATGTTATCGATCAACAGAACCGGATGAGCCAACGTAATTCTATATTGTGATATTCGAGATTGGAAAATCCCTGCAATCTAATCGAACCGATAAAGGGATCTGACGTCCAACATGGATGGAAAATATCTACCTGGCTGAGATATATCGCACTGATAAGTGAGCGATCGACTTGAATCTAATTTTGCACCGAATTTTTCAGCTCTTTTCAGGCGAACCAGAAGAGACACATCGGAATGACCGAGTCACGTGTCTCTCGAGACATGTGTAGCGAGGATATAGATAGAACTAGGAAGGCGTGAGATGAATCATTATGTCGTATCGGAGGTTTGGCCGGAGTCCCGCGGTCCAAACTAGGCTTGCGTCCGATCAAAGTAAATGCTAAAATTAAGCGGGCCGCTTTGCAGGTCGCATTGGCGGAATTTATAACGATACATATAGCGTCCTCTCATCAGTAGTTACGTAGTTACATATACATCATGAATGATGTCGATATCGCATGGATAAAGAAGGCAGAAATAGTCTCTGCCTTCCGTACCAAGCACACAGTCATAAATTAAGTGTCTCGCATACGATAGGTATTATAACATTCGCTTACATTTCATCGCATAAGAATCGTACATGTGTCATCGACAGAGTCATGCGACCCAATTAGAGTTTGAGCGAGCTTGGACGACGTAAAAGAAATCGTCGTACATGTTAAAAATACAAAGAAATGACTCGAGGTCGCCGGTAGGTTGATTAGGGCCGGACACGAAATAGAATCGATTTTTTTCAAGGGTGAAAGTCCGGCGGAAGTCACTGACGTCGACGCCGCTGTGGGGTTTCCCGACCGACCGGCCGAAAATATCGCGCAGCAAAGCACAAATAGTATTCCCGCAGGTATTTTTAAGTGTCAAAAACATCTGGCCGCGCTCTCTCCTTGGCGTCGCGACGCATCATATAACGCATATACACAAATATAAAGTAGTAAGTAGTGAATTCCATAGTATACACGAAACATTCCTCTTCGATCCGCATACTTTTTTTTACATAATTTTTTTTATAAAGATCGTATCTTCATCTTTCGATAAAAAGTAATTTTGCACGTCGCATTTTGATTGATTAAATTCGCATAAATCACGAAATCGCGCGCTCTCTCTCTCTGCTGCGTGGAAATAACGACTTTACTTTATCTAATTTCAGTTGTAAATTGTTATCGCGGAATATAATAATTCATCGTCATTTATCTTCCCGCTTTGCCACATTATCGCTTGTTTTGTACAAGTGATTATTTAATCTAAAAAATCTAAAAATCTGTTTTCCGCAGAAGTAAGTGTGTTAAGTAAGAATCTGCGATCATTTCGAATGAATCAGTCATTTCTCGATTGCGGAAATGGTACCGAGAATTTATTTTATTACTCATCGATTATTAATCTGGATGAATTATGTGCGAATTAAATCTAACTAAATCTAGAGAGACTTTCCGACGTGTTTGTTTGCAATTTCTCTTTTACATTCGATCCATCGCTCACGATCCAGAATGATCGGTTACGTTGCGCTTCGCACGTGCGTGAATATATTAAGTGCGTTACGAGCTTGCGGTGAAGCAAAATGCCGATGACGCTATATATATATATGTATATGGGATTTCCAAGATTTCTAAAAAGTCTACCTAAATATTTCGTGACGAACGATTATCGCTATATAGCTAAAACCATTTTTTCTCTTTCTGTCTTTTCTTTTAACTTCCTTCTTTCTCTTTGCTTTAGAATTTAGAAGGAGAGTTGTACACATAAAAGAGAAATTTATACACTGAGAAAAAAGTTGTTACTTGAAATCGTTCAACTAAGTATTATTTTGTCAACAAGTATTTAAGTCAAAACACATTATATTAAATTTAATATGTTGTATTTAATTTAAATATTTCTATATATGTTCAATTAACAACTTTTTTTCTCAGTGTAGTGCTTCTAAATCCCCTTAATTAATTTTTTAGAAAACATTGTATATTACAATTAATTATAAATATTATAAATTAGTATCGTATATATTATAAATCATTAATAATAATTAATACTAACACTTATTAATAATAACAAATACAGATTTATAAATAATATCAAAACTATAAATAAAAAAAATATATACGTTTTCTTACTTAAGAAGCAATTATTTGTATAGAATTTAATAGACTCGCGTACAAAACAAAGATTATACTTGTAAAAAAACAAAAGACAAATATAAAGTTCTAGAGATAACTTGTGCCTTCATACTGATATATTCATAACTTTCGTTTTTACACTTTCGATTATTTTTGTACTTGTGTTTTGTGATACGAGCACAACGACATTAGTCATTCTGGCGAATCCCGCGATGTTATCACGAAGCCTTTCTTCGATTGTCACGCTTTATCTGAACGCAAATTTTCGTCATAAAAGCAGGAATTCCCCGGGCGAAATATGAGTACGCGTACATATTTCTCATACCGTTATCGAGTCGCGATCGTAAAAATGACAATGCGTATTATTATCGCCATAAATCGGAGTATATGTGTATATTAGAAAAACATCGAAAGAACATTTAACAAATTTATTATGTCGAAAATTTGTGATGCTCCAAAAAACAATGTGTCGTCAAATATACGAAAGCATTAAGTATACTTATTATTCGGCCGTATATCGAATATATTTCGAACTAAATCAATTTTTAATGATAAATTAATATGCGATTGATTATCTTTTACTCCAAACACAACGCATTATTTTTGTAATGTTTTAATTATCACAAGATTAAACATTTTTCTTTATATAACATTTTCTTTCTCTCTGTCTCTTTTTATTAAAGTTAATTAAAAAAATGTATTAAAAAATAATGCTTCTCGAAACTTATTTCGTGAATAATTTATAAAAAAGCGATTCACATTTTAAAGTATAAACATATATATATATATATATATATATATATATATATATATATATATATAGTTAATAAAATATATTCTCCATATAATGAGAAACTTTTCAAGTTCAAATTAACATATTCTTTGATTAAAGAAATATAATTCTCGATGTTTTAACATGAGATGATGGAACTTTCAAACGCGAACGCGAAGCTGACATTCGATGAAATCACAAGCAACCTGCATGCAGTTCCACGTGTATTCATGGTCGTAATATCATCGTTTGCGAGCCTTATATATGACTTATTCTGCGCGGTAAAAGCAGTTAGGATTTTCCGCTGCCATCTCGGCTGCGTTCTTTGTCTCCACCGTCACGGACGTGGATCATCTTCTTTTTGCATTATAACGGCGATTAACGGTCATTATATTGCACGCTTCCAAATAATTATCGTAATTGCAGAAAAAAATTGCAACGTTATTACAAGATTTAAAATATAAGTGCTCGTTATGTTGTTTTCCTAATAATTTTTCCTCATTTTCCCGAATATTTTCTGCATTTTTATTTTGTCGTAAAATAAAAAAAAATTAGCCACTAATTATTAGAGTACTATTTACCGTTATAGTTTCGTTGCTCCAAATTTTGAGGTAAGGCGGGTACTTGCTGCCCGAAAGTCAGCTTATTCCTCTCCATCGGGTACAGTGGATCCGTGAGAGCTTTCGCGCAAGCGAGATCTCCGCAAGCGCAAGCCAGGTGGAGAGCTGTGTTTCCACGGAAATTCCTCAGAGATGGATCCGCGCCTGCCAGGATTAAATGCCTGACGATCAGTGGTTGGTGTGTCAACACTGCCAGATGTAAGGGCGATTGCCAGTCGTCGTTCATGGTGTCCAACAGGCAAGGATCAGGGGCCATTCTTATTAAACAGAGCGCAGCTTCCACAAAGCCTTGGACGATCGCGATATGCAATTGCCTGCAATTAAATATGTTATATAAGTATAAACAATTCAGTCTTGGCAGGAATCTTGAGGTATCATTAGCTTTTGTTCTTATCTATATTAGCATTCTTATTTATTAACTCTTCACACTGGAGCATATTATTAATTAATTGTTTGATCCTTGTATTATATTCTTATATATATATATATATATATATATATATATATATATATATATATATATATATATATAAAGAATATAATACAAGGATATAATACAATCTCTTACACACAAAAAAACGCACACACACAAGACAATATTTTAAATTAAATCAACTACATTCTCTTTAACTACTAATTTTATATATAATTAAAAAAAAATACTGATTTTATCACTATGTACAATAAATTTAAAATATTGTCTTATTTTCTTATATGCATATATAAATATATATATATATATGCATATAAGGAAATAAAACAATATTTTAAATTTATTGTACAGTGATAAAATCAGTATTTTTTAAATTATATATAAAATTAGTAGTTAAAGAGAACGTAATTGATTTAATTTAAAATATTGTCTTTTTTTTATTGTGTAAGAGAGACGTGTTCCTTGTGGAATTTCTATGTGCGTCACTCAATAATTTATCGTTGTTGTTATTCATTTGAATTTCCAAAAGATGATGCGTATCGAAGAATGAAACTCGTTTCATTGAATCGGTCAACGAGCTCAAGTCAAGCACTGAGAAGACACGTCAAAGGTATATATAGGCCGCTCTCTACGCGAATGCTACATTGACGTTATGCATAATGACGTTCGTGTTTAAAGCAATGCACTCGTGTTCATTAAAAAAAACCCTGCAATAAGCCAAGATTAGAAATGACTATTTGCCAGATTAGATTCAGAGCGTATAAATCGGTTTATGCAGTTAATGTCAAGAAATAAAACTTGATCCCTTTCTCTTTCACTACTTCTCAAGTTTTATGCTGAAATTAAATTGATACTATTTTCTTATTTTCTTTTATACAATTTGCGACAAATTGATTATTACAATTACAAGAAAAAATTAAAAAATGTCTCTAGCAACTTTATAAAAATGTACTTGAGATTTGTAAACACTCTTCAAGAATTTAGGCATATGATTATTAGTAACTTATTCGCGAGCTCGATCAAGTAAGCAGAAATTAATTGCTACTTGAAAAATACTTGCTGTTTACTTTATTACTACTATTTGCTTTTAATCACTTCTTGTATTTGTTAAGTATTTGTTAAGTTGCGAATTAGCATCTGTATAGTATGAATAATACACATTCGACCCTGGACCTGTTGACCGCGTTAGCATCGTGACACGTGATCGCGAATGTGTTCCGACTGCAATAAGCCGTTAACACGGTCAGGATCTAACGGATCACCGACTTATAAGATAGATGATAAACACAAGATGAAGATTTGTGTATCTTCAATGTACAAAAGTCATAATAGTCAAAACATTTCAAGAGCTCGCATCAAGCAATTCCCCAAAAATACATCGCACTATTATTATTAATATAAAATCAATCATATGTGTATTTTGACATAAAAGGATCCAAGTGATTCTAACATTGATACAGCAGGCAACAATTTAATTTTACTGCGATGTGTCAAAAAGAAACAACGACAGCAACTGACATATGTCACCCACGTGTCTACTCCAGAGAGTCAAAGGGTTAACAAAAAGTGGTCGATAAAAAATAAAAAAAAAATATAAAAAAAAAACACTAACGTGTCACCGTCGTCGTCCTGGGTATAATAGAGCTGCCAAGGTTCCTCGTAGCTGGTTTCCCGTTCAAGTTGCTCGTACAGGGGTGCCTCATCGTGGTGCTGCGGCTTATAAGTGTCGCTGTCTGACAAGGCAAGGTTCGCTGTGACAGGTGACAGCTCGGGACTGGTCGACTCCGCGGCTTGTATCAGCTTTCCGCTCTTGGAAGCGAGCGGGTTCAGGCTGACCTGCTTCAAGCTGAGCTGGCTCAGGGTGTCGGTGAGGTCGAGGACCACACCGCTGTCGGTCGTCCTCATTAGCTCCTCCGCGACCGCCGCTGCCGATGATGATGACGATGATGATGCGGTCGTCGTCACCGGCGCTGACGCGGGAATCGTCGCTCCCTCCTTCTTCACCTCCCTTCCAGGTTGCTCCTCCTGCTGCAGAAGTAAGCCCGAGTCGCGGATCTCGCCGCTGAACTGCAGGTTGCCGCTCGACAGGAACCCGGAATCGACGTTGCCCGCCTCGTCGTCCTCCTCGAAGCGCTTCTTCCCGTCCTCTGTAACATGTCCCTCCATCTGGGTGCTGCTTCTGCTCTCGCGGCCAGGATGCCACATTTTTTTTTTTTTTTTTTTCAGGAGAAAACACTCGTACAGTTTTTTTAAAAACCTTTCCTCCTCTTTTTTCACCCTGCTTTTTTTTCGCGAACCCTTGAAGTCTCTCGATCGACGCAAATCGTCCTGACGTTATGTTCGCTCGAGAGAGATCCCCTTCTCCGCGAAACAGCTGTGCCCGCACTTTGGTCTCGTCCCGTCGTCTATCTATCTATCTGCTACCTTCGATCATCGTCGTTCGCGTATTTTCTGACACTCTTCGCCGTCCGATCGCCGTTTCACTGAACCGATGAAACTGCGTTGATTCCCGCTCGCAAACAGACGGGAGAAAGTGGTTGCTTCGTTTACTAACTTCGTGGTCGGACGTCAACGCCCCCACCCGTTTCGTATCTCAGAACGAACTGAGCGACGACAGGCAGAAGCGGCGTTGCTGTTGCCGGACGACGCTTCTCGCGCATGCGCGGCGAACGACGCGCAGTGACGTAAATATCTGCGACTCCCGATGAGGAAATATGACAGGACAGAATCGTTTATAGTTTTTTCAAGAAATATTTTTTGAAAAATAATTATTAATAATTATTATTAATTATATTATTAATTATTATTATTAATAATAATAATTATTTATTAATAATAATAATTATTAAATAATTATTTTGCGCTCACATCACTATAATCTTTATTTCTATTATTGAAAATAATCTTTATTTCTATAAATAAAAAATAAATAAAAATGAATAAATAAATAATAAACAAATAAAAATGAACAAAAAATGAATAAATAATAAATAAAAAATAAATAAAAATGAATAAAAAATGAATAAATGATAAATAAAAAATAAATAACAATGAATAAATAAATAATAAACAAATAAAAATGAACAAAAAATGAATAAATAATAAATAAAAAATAAATAAAAATGAATAAAAATGAATAAATGATAAATAAAAAATGAATAAATGATAAATAAAAATGAATAACAATGAATAAATAATGAATAAAAATGAAAAAACAAATTTAAAAAAATGAAAATTCTTTATGAATAATCTCGTGCTAGCTACAGACCTGGGATCACGTTCGATGCGCACGCGCGAAAAAGATGGACATTTAACATCTCTCCGGCGATATAATTCCCGAGGAAGAGAGAAAGAGAGAGCGGAGTAGGGGCGGGAAAACCCATCAACCTCGGGCCAGCTGTATGGCGTGTAACCGAGACACCGATGCGACTTTTATTTTACAGATGAAGTCGATTTCAAAACCGCGAAAAAAACGATCTTAATAAAACACGTTACGTTATTTTATATCAAATATTTTATATCGAGTTTGCTTCAGAAATTTTTGTTTTATGGAAGAGTTTTTAAATAAAATATTTGATATAATTGTTTTATTATATGATATTAATAATATTAAATTAATAAGAAATAATATTAAATTAATAATTGCAAATTATATTAATACTGATATTTGTCTATCGTAATAAATATCTGCTTGATAATAGAAAAAAAAGAGCACGGTTAATTTCCGTAATCAATTTTAATTGCTGTTTATAAAAACCTTTTGCAATCGCGAATATTACAATACTATAAAGGAATCATCTATTGGAAATATCCATCTGGTTGTACGAATAGGTTTTTACCACGGATGAATGAACTGTAAAGGAAAATTCCACGATAGAAATTACGTTTGCTTGTACAAATTCGCGGGAAACACGAGAATTCTCTGGTTAATTGATAACTTTGAATTAAATATAATTTGCGCTTTACTCTGTTAGAGTAGAAAGCTCATTTGAAAGCACGCTGGAAAATCCGATTAGAAAAGAAATAATTTTAAATATTCAATATATTCAATACTATTGAAAAAGTGTGTCTTATCTCAATAAAGATCTGGAGCAATCTTGAAAAAGAGGCGTATAAAATTAATCGTTTTCGATTTTTTCTTCCAACTATAAATGTTATATTTTCAATAATCAGATCTGGACGTAAGAAAGTATATTAGATAGATTATTAAACAGAAGAGAATAAAATTTGGAGTTTATTAAATAGTCTCAAAAATAATTTCGAGTTTATAAATACTCTTTATAATTTGAAGTTTTATAAATAATATACCTGAATAATTTTTTCTAAAGGCAAAACGTCCTTTTTTCTCAAAGATTCGTCTTTTAAACGTCTTTAATAGAATGTTCTATTAAAGTTGCGCGTATCATTGTTCTTTTTCTTATCAGCATGACATTGCTTTCTTTCGTAATAATTTGCGTGCAAGCGCGATCGCGAATTTTTATCGATATGTATCGTAAATATCTCAATAATAGCAGCTCTTTCAGAAAATTATCTAGAGAGAGACAGAAGGAGTGCTTCTCCAAATCTCTACATAGCAGGTCGGTTTGTATTAAAATCGTGTAACATTGCGAGATAAGGCGCGCTTTTATCTCGTAAGTTGGATTCTAAATTATCAGATGCAAAAAATGTCGCAATTTCGTATCGATAAAGTTTCACTCTTCGTTTTCGGGACTGACACACATACACGCAGATCTTTCAACAAGATCATATCTTTCATTCATTCTATAAATCTTTCGCGTCTAGCACATTTTTTATTCTAAAGACATTGACACCGCTTATTCAAGTTGCACCATCTTCTTTTTCTTCCTTTCTTTTTTGTGAAGAAATGAATCATCGGATTTTTCGGATCTTGTGAAGTCCAGAGAGATTTAAAACATTCATCTATTTCTTCGACAAAGATTCCGTTGAAAATGACGCAAAGGTGGAATTAAAAAAAAAAAAAAAATTATTTGCTGACGCGCGATACGCTTGATGTAAACAAAAGTGGCAATTATAAACAGCAATTTGCAAAATATGCATAAGGATGTAATAGTGAATTTTATAATTATAGTCATAAATCAATAAATTATTCGCGTTAAATGTACAAAATTGAATTTTGTGATTATAATCAGGACTCGAATAAAAAATAATAAAATACAAAAATTCTTAAAGGTAAATCGACTTTCTACGATCTTCTGTACCCGCATACCTTTAGCATATATTTCGAAGATGTTGTCTTTCTCCCATGGATCGGCAGACCGTTGCTACACGTGAGTTACACGTTGATCGATGTAACTTTCGCATTTGCTGCCGCATGTGATAGTCGGGCTACTTTCTTCGTGACACCTCTCGGTAAAAGCGGCGCGACGAACTCACCGGAAATTCCACCAGCATTTCTTATCTGAAGGCCTCGCGACGATGCATCGCAGCAAATGTCCCATGGTCGTTCACTGTTCGTGTACCGGGAAATCGATTCGCCGAATATGCGACCTCGATGCGTACAAAGGAGAGAAATTCCACATGGGTTTTCCCATCATTATATTGAGGTCGTATAATGAACCGTTCGGGCAATTAGCTTCATTTATTACCCGTTATCTTTTTTCGTCAGAACAGTTCAAACATGTGATCTTCTTTCTTCGAAAGATAACGCCCCGTTGAAATTTTTCAAATTTCGCTGTGTGTTGCACGGGAGCTAAAATTATAAGAAACAGAACAAATTATTAAAATAATATTAACAGATTATTAAAATAAAAATGATTAAAACAACTATTTTTAAAATAATTTATTAAATAAATAATTTTATTTTTAAAAATCGTTAAAATAATCATTTTTGTTTAAATTTATAGTAAATTAAAAGTATATAATGTGTAATATATATTTTTTAAATATAACATATTTCTAGATTGCTTAATTAAAATAAAACGGATTTTATCAAAATCAAAATATACTTTTTCGCAATATTTGATGTATCAACATTACTTCTATTCTCGTAATTGATATTTAAATTCAATAAGATCTATTTATACACTTATTCGCAGAAAACCATTTGGCCTCAATTACTTGTAATTACTACTAATACTATAATCTACTAATCTACTAAAATATAATATATATAATCGCGAGGTCGAACTGTGCGTACACGTGTAACCAATAACAAAGTTTTCTGATAAATAAACCGAAATAAATAATAAAGTATCTATTTAGGACGTACTATCGTTTAATGTTACTACATCGATCGATTATTTTACGATGGAAATTTTTTGGCGTACGTGTTTATTGATACAGGTGAATATCGCCGACGTCAATGTCCGGATTATCTGGGGGAAAACCTACGATAACGATAGAAAATGTGTAAATAATCTTAAACATTGTATTTGCTCGATATACGCATATCTCCGACGTCATATTTCAACAATTAAACTATTGTTTTAATTATTAAGAATACAATTTTCTCTTTTTTCTAACGTTTTAAAATTTATTCCTACGAGTAACATTGAATGCATTTTGAACTAAATTAAAAATTAAATTAAAACTATTTTAAATATATTTAATTTAATTTTACATTTAATATATATATAATATATAAAAAAATAAATATAAAATATATTTAATTTATTTCAATTCATTATGTTCTTAAAATTTTTGCACACCTACGTAAAGAAAAGAAGAACAATTAGGATAATTTCTGATTAAAGCTCTAGAAACATGTTTAGTGATAAAATAAATACTTAAATCAAAGCATATATTTTAATTTATCAAAGATAAAAATTTAACAAAATGATATTAATATATAGCAGCATAATTAAGGCTTATTCAGGTAAACTTGCATAGCTGCATATATATGCGCAAAAGATTCGATCGATCACGTGCCTAATGTGTAAGAATGCCACATAGTTGCATTATATTAAACAACACATGATTGGTTGATTCATAAATATGCATTATGCGGAGGCACTTCAAGTTTGCCTGTATGCATAAATTTATATATATATATATTTATGGAACAACACAATCTTATGAATATCAACATAAATTATGAATAACGTCATTTGTATTACAATATAAAATGCTTTGAAAAAAATATGATTGAAAAAGCAAAAGAAAAGTAATCGATGGAAATTATTTTCTATTATACTATTAGACGTCCATACGTGATATGACGTTATTTCGATTGCAATTGCGTGCAATTGCATTCGCGATTTGCACGCGACACTACTTATCAGTCACACGCATAATATCGCATAATTGCGTGCACATGCATATTTACACCGCTCCAATATTCATTGATAAGTGCCATGACGAGATATGACTTTCTTAAAACGATACGATACTTGCACAAGTACTCGCGACAAGCGGGTCATCGAGGTCTCAGCAATAATTTTTCGATATAAAATACGGTTGCTAAATGGACACTGAGAATACTTGCAATACAAATTATTACAAACACATTTTTGCATTGTAAAATGCATTCCGCACAAATACTTTTGAACTGAGACAGCGAGGGGTTCTCACGATTCTAATAACTAATCAATTTTTTTGCGAAATAAGTAATTCCATGAATCAATATTAATCAAATGCACAATTTTTTTCTATTAAGGAAAAGATAAGCCTTCTCGCATGCTTTAAATATATTATAATATTATACATAAATTAATAATTAATATATTAATTATAGTATTTTTTTTACTAATGAAGTTTGTATCAATATGACGTATTATCTCAATACATATTAATATTTTTCTACTTATGTCAATTTATTTTATACTTATATGTGTATAACATAATAGAAAATATATATTAATATAAATTTAGCTTATGAAAAGTTATTAGTTATTAGAATTATACGCAAAGTAAGCTATTTTCTGAAGTATCGGATTAAGCTGAAGCATTTACACGTTTCTGTTATCTTAAACTTAAAAGATTACTGGTTTATATTGTTTATAAAAAAGAAGCGATTAAAGGGATTATATAAGACAAAAGAAAGGTAGCACTTTTAAATTTGTGCCGCGACAAATACTACTATTATATTCAGCTATATAACACAGAGTTGGGGAAGTACGCTGACTCAAGAATGGACGACCGCATCGCTTTGACATTTCAAACCTCGGTCGTTTCGTGGTGCTTCCTTCTAATATACTAATTGTTTCCTCGTGTCCTGAATATTCCTTATTGTTAGCCGCGATTCAATGACTCGCGTGATCTATTTAGTGCTAATTGACACGACTATGCAAATAAAGATTTGCAAAAATGAAAATGATAACTAGTTTTAGTTTGATAAATACTTGATGAATAACATTCTCGGGATGTTTATGATAACGAATGTCGCATTAATTTAACGTTTATTTCGCACATTCATATTTTTTTGCAAATTCGTGTATCACAATCATGTTTCTAGATTAAATGCATAAATTGAAGATTCATTGAATCTATCATGTCATTATTTGTAAGTGATATTAAATACCTCATTTAAAATCATTTCGATTACTTTTCGATTACTTTTTATTTAAAATAATAATCACACATATGCTCTCTTTTCTAAAGGTTTTTCAGAATTTTGTTATGCTATCAAATCAATTACACAATTTAAATTTTGTAATTGAAGATGTAAGAATGAAGAAAAATCCACACAATTTGTAATTAGTCAATTTTAAATAAATAATAAATAAATATTTTAAATTATCGATGCTTGGTTTCTTTATTGTGCTAAATTTTTCAATTTTGCATTTAATACTCTGTAATCTCAGTATAAAAATATTACTGAGTATGTTTGCCAACAAGGAAGTATGTAAATTTGTAAATCTGACACTTACAGCATCTTCTCTGTCAATTTTTCCCAACGAATTTCATATGCTTGACTGGCCATCTGTTATTGCCAAATATTGACGAATGGCATTCCAAGTCAAGTTTATAGAAAGCCCAATTTTTTCTGCTGCTCTTGGTCGATGTGTGTTCCTTCGTTCACTGCAGGAAATTCACGCTGCTTTGTCTGTAGCTCCAGAAGAAGGAAAAACTCGAAAATGATGATTGTGCGAGATAGATGTCGACTGCTACCGGTCCTCACTGAGAAACTGTAAAATTTTCAAAACGAAAATATAAACTACGTGTAAAATAATATTATGATACTATATGATGTCAACTTACAAACTGCTCGTCTCCTGTTAATGCAACGTCTGTGAACTCCGTTTTAAAATATCCCGATAGATAAAAAAAGAAGGAGAAGGTAAACAGATAAAAAAAGGGATTAAAAACATTCTTATTTTAATCTAGAAGTTTGAAGAATTCATTGATAGAATGGAGAGGAGGAGTTACCATTATTAACATCACTGAGCTCTACTGAGATTATGTCTTATTAATCTCAGATAAATATTGGTTCACTGTCATTTGTCACGTACATGTGGATTTCCCCATGTATTCTGCTATTAATAGTGATTAGTAATTTTATAATATCATGTTGGAAATTGTAATAGTACACATAAATAATTAACAAAATTATATTATTCAGATAGACTTTGCTTTAGTAAAATTGTAATCGAAAGTTTAAATGTAATAATGTATATATAAGATTGTAGAGCTGCAATAAACGATAAGAATTATTATATATTGGTACATAAAATTTATAATCAAGAGTTGATACTTTAAAGACAAAATCATATTTACTTTGATGTATTACTTTATATATCACGTTCAATGTATACGATAACAATAAAAATTATTTATTTTCGAGATTAAAGTGCAAATGGAAAAAAACTGGAAGAAACTTAGGGACATAAAAATGCAAGAGAAATCTAAGATTTGAATTTATAATCCATTTTATGTCAATATGTCTATTTCTTAATTATATTTCTTTTATAGTACACAATCCAATATACATAATGAAACTAAAAATAAATCACGTTGAACACTAAATACAAATATACAAAAAAAGATACATACTGTAATTATAAATAATTGCGATGAAATAAAATAAAAATAAAATCTTTATTATCAAGATGCATAAAGCATCTAGTAATGGCAATTTTGATGCAAAAGTGATATAACATAAATATATAATACAAGTAGTCAAAAAATGACAACTCTTTTTATGAATTACAATGCAATTATCATACGTTATAGTGTTCGAGTATACCTTGTCTGATAAGCGGCTCGCATATAGCCCTTGGGAGCAGATGGTATGTGTTCTTTTTCAACGTAATAATTTCGCCATTGTCGAGTTCCAGCTTACCGAAATCGGTTAAGCATTTTACCTGAAAGAGAAATTATATTTAATTACTATCGACACAAAACTAATTATAATACTCTTTCTATTTCTCCCCTTTTCTCTAAAATTTCGAAAATGTTAATGATTTTCACAACATAGTCTAGACTAATCATAGACTAAAATATTCTTTAAAAATATTCATCAAGTCTATAATGAATGTATGTTCTTAATATTTTTCTGAAAAAAAAATCTTAAAGTTCTGATACGTGAAAATAATTAAATGATAAAATCGAATATAAACTTTGAATATTTATAATAATTAGAAAATCCACAAAAATAATTTAAAATATATATAAAAATATACATAGAAATGAGTAAAATGAGTTTCTTGCACAGTTCCTTCTATTATGACTTATATTATATTACAAATACTAACTTCGACATAGAGCATCTTTGGAGGACTCATGTTCACAGTCAGATTCAATCCGATCATCTCCCCTGATTGATCATCTCCGATTGATCTCATGTAGGTGGCCAAAGACTTGTTGTAATTCTGAAACCATTGCACCTCTGCATTTAGCAAATTGGCGGTTATTTCAGTCGGCAGGATGCTACCCAATTCCCAACGCATCTGCCGTAAACGCCTAATCCGATGAAACAGATATGCCAAAATACACCTTTTGTTCCTGAGCAGAGCTGTATGGCGGAAATGCACTGATGGTAATAACTCATTATTTCCTTCATTTTGTATGGCGTTACTGAAACAAAATATTTAAGAAATTTGTAGAAAGCAAAAAAACCTATCAAGAGATTGACATTTACTCTTTGGAATTCTATTTTAATTACTATATTACAGAATTTAGAGACAAAAATATATCACTTTATTAGATTTATTATATTATTATCATAAGAATCATCACACAAGAACAATATGAATTTATTTTTTTTAGTTGTAAAATAGTTTGGATCAAATAATGTACCTGTCCACCAGATTAGCCTCGTAAAGACTTTGCATCTCTTCAAAAACTTGTCGCATCACCTGTTCCTGAGAATTGGAAACAGCTTTATGATGATACATATCTTTTAAGACTATATTTACAATTAGAATAATGACATTCTAATGCTTACATTAAACGGCCGGATATCTTCATACATATCGAGCTCCGTTATGAGTTTGATAGCTTCTTTCCCAAACATGTTTGCAAAAAACTCTGTATAACCGTTCCTCAAAGTTTATTCAAGTTTTTGTCACATAAGTATATACCTCTGTAATATAAGAGACTCATTATAAAATTGAGTTTATTTATAAATACCTTTTCTCTTATCTACTATCTTGAGTCTTTATCTTCTATTCGTACAACGAATCATACATTGAATAAATCGTGTCGGATTTCTAGCAAACTTGTTTACAAATGTACGTTGAAATTTGAACATTGATCCCGTCATCCGTCATGTCACATCACGTGATCACGTAATCAGCTGTGAACGCGCGAAATAATCTAACCTGCGAGACGCTTGTCGAATTCATAACAACTGTCAAAATATATTATTCTCGATGAAAACAACTGTCAAAATATATTATTCTCGATGAAAATGAACTTCAATCGACACATTTTCACGTTATTTACTAGAATTGATTAATTCGTCACGCCTTCGACTTTGATCATTTCGATGACAAATGACTTTAAATGATTACCTTGATAATGATCACAACTCAGTGATGTTTTAAATAGCTGATTTTATTATGAAGAACAATTTGCAATATTGTCATTTAATTCACTTAAAATTAAGAAAAAAATCCCAAACTACGGAATTCGAATGTCAGATCACACACACATTTTAAATGCATATATGTAGATGGCACCTTGCCACGAAATATAGCGATTAAAGAGATGGAACCTTCAAGAATATTTCGGAATTATCATTTTTTTTAATATTTAATTATTTTTTTAAGATAAATAATTTATTTGTTGTTTCATAATTAACTGCATAATTGTTCTTTTTGCATATATATAGGCATTTGTTTTTCATACTTATTATTCGAAAAAAATAATTTCATTAATAATTAATGACTTAAAAAAAGTATATATATTAAAATATTATATTATATTTTATATATATATAGTATTCATACATTTATTTTTTTTTAATATTAACATAAATTATAGAAATATTGAATAGATATTAAATATTATTAAATATGCTAAATTATTATAAATAATTATATATTTTCTTTTATATACATAAAGAGAATATAATAATTAAAATATTTATATTTTTATGAACAAAAAGCAATATTTTATTTAGCATAATATTATTTCTATTTAATTCTATTCTATTATTCGTATATATATATATATATATATATATATATATATATATATTAATATATTATATAATATACCCAGATAGTCACAGTAATTATTATGACATCATTTTGATGTCAAAATGCATCATTTGCCATCTAAATGATGTCATAATAATTACTGTGGCTATCTGGGTAAATATATATATTATAGCAGCACACTACTTTTCATTTATTTTTTTTTTAAATACATTTTTTAAATATTTCGATTCATTTAATTTTTTTTAAAATACATTTTTTAAATATTTCGAGATACATATAGAAATTAAATCCTACTGAATCCTAAGTAATATATATATAGTTACATAGTAACCAAGTAGATACAAAATCAACAAAGATAGTGGTTATTTCTTGATGCGTGAGTTCCACTTTAATTATTAAAGTGAACGAGAGCATTATTCTAATTGCCAAGGAAAAATTGATCGTGACCACGCAATCTATTTCTTGTAAAACCGTTTAAAACGCGAGGAACCAGAACTGTCAATTTACTTCCTTAATCGGTAAATTAAGTCACAATTTTCATATTATACAAGTTAATGTTTTTTTCTTTTTCAATGAATTTGTGAAGTTTTATACAAGATAGAGTGGCAATAATGATTTTGTTTTTTGCACTACTTAGCAACTAATTATGAATTATCGAATTCAATATTATCATGTCAATATTAACTCTCTTATACATTTTAAAAGTCAGAATAATTCTACATATATATTATTTACTTTTTTAGATATATATATGCAATTTTAAATATTGTATGTATATAAATATTAATATTTTAAAAGTCATTATTTATAATGATATTTTTTTCGAATAACAAATAGAAAAAACAAATGTCTATATGCATACAAAAAATAATTATTATACCGTTAATTATAAATTAAATAGAAATAATATTATGCTAAATAAAATATTGCTTTTTGTTCATAAAAATATAAATGTTTTAATTATTATATTCTCTTTATGTATATAAAAGAAAATATATAATTATTTATAATAATTTAGCATATTTAATAATATTTAATATCTATTCAATATTTCTATAATTTATGTTAATATTAAAAAAAAATAAATGTATGAATACTGTGATGTTTAAATATTAAAACAATTTCAATGTATTCATTGAAATAAAAGAGAAAAAACTGCTATTATTTCTATAAAAAATAAGAAAAAAAAATATTAATTTCAAATGGCTTTCAATTCTAGACATTAATCGACAAAGATAGTTTCTTTGTTAAAAGAAATTTCTTAAGACATATTTTCGGGGTAATAAATGTCTTGTGACAGGCTATTATATCGGAGAACTTACTTCGCAGAACCCTCGATTTTCTGCCCCGTAATTACCTCTGCGTGTATTTGTATCACGAGCTCGTTAATCATAATATTATATCGCGTGCCTACCATGTCGCCGATGTCCCCGTGCAGCCGAAAGGAAACCCGAAAGCCGAGTCTACGTAAACGAACAGAAAATCCGCGATTAATGCAGTACTTCTCTCTGCGTTGCTGAAGATAGATCAATCGATCTGATATTAAAGTTCACACATTATTTCTTCGATAGACATAATTAATATTTTATAATCACGATCCGATTAATCACATCCTTCCAATTTCGAAGATGTTGCGTAATAAAAGGGTACAGCAGGAATCGAGTGTTTAAAAATATATATATAATAATTATATAAATTGCATTAAAATTATGATATGTATAAATGTTGCGGAAATCCGAAAAACATTGAAGAAATATCTATAAGATATCTTGAATGTTTTTCAGATGAGTTTTGGATCTTTTCAATGTTTCTCAGTTTTAAACATTGGAACTATTACGCGAAGATTCCTTAAAAAAGTATTAACATAATAAATTTGTTACTTTAGGGTGGAAAAAAGACGACGAGAAGAATGGCGAAGAAGGTGCAACCGGCGGCATTGCAGACAGAAGTTCTTAATGACGAAGAATGGGCGAAGGTATTGGCACGGAAAGGTTTAGTAGGCGAGTAATTTTTACCTCGTAGAAGTATATAAAAGTAACTTCTCTATTAAATATCTTGTCAAAAATATTTTTCATATAATGTCCTTATTTAGTAGTGGACGTATATTCGGATTGGAGTGGTCCTTGCACAGGCATGGTGAGCGTCCTGAAAAAGATAAAGATGGAAATTGGAGGCGATGCTTTGAGTTATGCTACTGTAAGTGTTAGAAAATATAATATAAAAGAATTATCATATAAGATATATTGTATAAGTATAAATAAGAATGTTATTTAATCAAGATATGCTAGAAATAATATATATTTATATTAGAGAAATTACTTTGTATCCAAATTAATCTCCAACATATATAAAATATTCATAGCATGTTACTTTCTTTCAGGCAAATTGCGATCGCGTCACCGATTTAGAGAGATTTCAAGGAAGGAGCGAACCCATATGGATGTTTATTCATGTAAATATTTTGCAAGTAATTTATGTTAGAAACAATTATTATACGATTGAATTCTTTCTTGTGACAGGAAGGACGAATGATTAATTTAATGTTTGGAGCGCATTGTCCGGAATTTGTGAAAATGCTGACGACCGAGCTCGAAAGGGTTCAAAACGGCGGCGAACACGAGTAAGCTGAAAATTAATGACTTCAAAAATTCGTGTGCATTATTAATTAATTATATAATTAAAAATCTGATATAATCTTATATAAAAAAATTAATTTAATATTGATTAAACAATTAATTTATTAAATATCGATCAATTGCAAAAATTCTACGACATCCTAATACGATATGATATTGCAAAATATAAATTTGTTATTACTTTTATATTCTTTATTATATTTAAAAAAAATGTAGATTCTCATTAGAAGTTTCTGAGAAGAGTCCAGAAGAAGTAACACGACTAAAAATCCAGGAAGAGGCAAAAATAGCCAAGGAAATAGCGAGAAAATCTCGAAAAGGTAAAATATATCATTAACTATAATAAGTACATCACAACTTCTGCCAGAGACAAAATATATATATATATATATATATATATATTGAAAGTTATTTATCGCTTGATATAGTAAAAATATCGTTATAGAAGCTGAAGCTAAAGCGAGATATGAAGCAGAGATGCTGCATCTGACCACTTCATTGTGCAATGAAACTTGTTTGCTGCTGTTTCCTTGGATATTCAAAGACGAAGAAGGACGTAGAAGAGACAAGAGATCCAGCCCACCATATGTGGAATTAGTTGAGGAATTATTACCAGAAAATTACACTGTGGAACAAGAGATACGCAAACGATTGAATGAGGATTTGCTCCAGCAAATGCTCGATGAAGTATTTTAATTTTCCTACAATATATACTATATAATTATATAATATAATAGATTCTCTCATTATATATAGACGTTGTTGGTAAAAATATATCATTTTCTATTCTGTAGTCTACATATAGCTTTTCGGAAGCTGCCAAACAATTGCTCTTTGATGGTAAATGTATGTTTATGCGATTAAAGATTGTCGAAGGGAGAAAGAATATCGAAGTTCATAATTATCTGTGCAGCATTCTGTTCAATGAACCAACATTACCAGAAACAGACGATTCTTTAAACGAAGAGTGGTATAAGATTTATTTTTTGTGTATAATTTCATATATTTGCAAAGTATAGAATTAATTGAAAACTGACATTATGATATTTTCTGACAAATACTAATACTGATGACAAAAGTTTTGACAATGAATAAAAATACTTGCAATTAATATTCTGATAATTTATGTTATTAAAATTAATCATTATATTTTAATCTTTATATAGTTTTGCTGGAAAACACTGCCCAGCTTTTGAAGTCCCTGACAAGGAAAATAAAAAATTTCCATTTGTTTGGACACCTCCAAACCCCAGAAACAAGGCAATCGTTTTTCGTACGATATTCAGTGTTTATACTAACACAACATATCCGGTAAGTATGTGTGAAAATTACATTTCATAAAATTTAATAGTTTCCTTCAAAATCTTTAAAGAGCTTGAATCGAGAAATATATATTAATTCCATATGAAATTAAACAATATAATTATAATTCTGATATATCTCAATATAATTATAACTTTTCAATATTATATTGCTTTAATCTAATTTATTTAAAATTATAATTTATTAAAGAAACATATTTTCTAAATAATAATAATAATGATTATATCATTGTTCTGATCTATGTTGATTTTTTCCACAGTATGAAGATAAACTGACAAAAGTACCAATAACTTTTTTCAAATATGATTATACACGTAAAAATGATTTAAAAATGGTGTTTGAGATGTTCAGTGATGAGGTCATCAATTTTGGTATATTCGAATATGATAAACCACCTGAAGCTAAGATAATCGCAAGAAGTATAGAGGCATTCGAGATGAGCCCAGAGGAAAAAACAGGGTATATATTCTCTTCTATCATATATATATATATATATATATATATATATATATATATATATATATATATATAAATTAAAAAATTCGGTAACGTAATCCATTTTTCAGAATTAAAAAAATTAATATTAAACTTTTATGATTTTCTTTTTCAAAAACTTTAGACAATATGTTATACTACTCTTTTACTTATTTCTATCTTTAAAATAGATATAATTTTACAGATAACATTAAAAAATTTTTTTTAACTTTCATATCTTTAACAATTCTTCAATTATATAAATTTATTTTTGAACATTTCTTTCAAATTCTGAAAAATTATATATATATATATATATATATTATAATTCAATGTATATATATATATATATATATATTGAATTTTTTATATCTTTTATAACAAAAAAACTTTATTTTACCTGAATATTAAATTACTCCTCGTTATATTCACAGTTACGAAATATTCGTCTGCACAGTGAAGAAAGTAGGTTGCGAAGCATTTCTGGGCTTTGCTGGAATTGGACCTTTTCATGTGAGCGAAAATCCGGAGAAGGCTATCGAAGAGTCCAAATTATATTTCCCAGATGTTACTGCCGTAGATGAAACGCAATCGGATGACGAAGAAAACCCGAGGAACTGGAAGAGAATCAAGATGATGCAATGGCAACATAATTGTTTTGTGGTATAATATATTTATAAGATAGTAAAATAAACAATTTAATAAATTTAAATGTAACAAATAATAATTTTTAATTATAAGATTATAGACAAATTTAATAAATAATGATGTATAATATCGAAGAAAAAAGATCACTAATAAAATTCTATTATATTCTAGCTATGTATAATATGACAAGAAAATAAAGAATAAAGATATTAAATTAATGTTTATTTTTCGGCTACTTTATTTGATGTAAAAAAATAAGATTGCAGTTGAGAGTATCCATTAAAGTGATTCAATGGAATTTATTTTTTGTAATCATAACTGCTACAGTTTTTTACCTTCTCAAATTTTTTACCTTTTAGAATGCATGTGTGAGAATGAGACACAGATTTCAATCCAAAATGTTTCATGTTCTTACAAGTCTCATATTAATGCTCTCGGATTTTGCTCCAATGATTGTTTTTCTGTCAAAGTGCATAATACCAGCTGATCAAATGTAATGATCTCTGTTTTTAAAATGCGCTCTTTTAAAGCATATACCTGCAAGAATATTCAATGTCAAAATTAGTTTCTCATATTCCCTCTGTTGTATATTTTGTACATAATCTTATTTTAAATATTTTAATATATAATATTCTAATAACATTTAAACAAAATACAACTGTACAATATAATTTCTGCAATAATAAACATTATGTACAATTTTATATTAATATTTATTAATATTTTTTAGCAAACATTTAAACTGAATCAGTTTAAATAAAATCTGATACAGATTCTAGTCTTTTTAGATATATTAGGTCTGTTTTTTTCAGCTGAACTGGCTACACTAGTTCAGAGGTTATCTTTTTCCTTTCAATGTCGAGCAAAAAAAGACAATCTCTGAACTAGTGTAGCCCGTTCAGCTGAAAAGAACAAACCTATTGTATAATATGCAGATAAAAAAAATAAACTCATAGTGAGCACTACTTTAAAACCTAATGAATTGTTAGTATATATTATCACAACTAGATTTCTTTTTTTAATGGATAATTTTATAGAAAGATACAATATGAAGCTTTCATATACATATAATCAGTCGCAAAAATTAAATTCAATGAAAAATTGATAAAAAGCATAGAAAATTCAATGCACTATTTTTAATAAAATTTAATAAGCTCTTATATGTGATTTTGGCTTCATAATTTAACTGATAAGATATTCATGAGAATAATTTATTTACTTTGAGCAGAAATCATAAATATCTTGGGACATTGGTTCCATTTGTCGCATCTTCCTGTCATGTTTATGATTAATATTATTGAATCCTAAAAAAAGAGAAATAACTATTAATTAAATAATATAATAATCGATAGGGAAACACAAATCTCAACTAATAAGTTGCATAACATCTGATTTTTTAATCAAATCGCACATTTATAAATGTCATCGCGTAAATTTTACTTTCTATATTTCAATGCGTATTTAAATCACGCGCGCATTTAGATTTCGATGAAGCCGTACTGGAAACAGAAACTCGCGAAAAGAAATGTGTGCAAAATTTGTGACATCGATATTGATCATTAATTTCGCGAAAATGCATTACACGTGCACATATGTATAAACAGATGACGTATTCTTCGGAAAGAGATCTAATATAGCATTAGGATCGTCATAAATACAATTAAAATATAGTACGGAATATCTCGTTGTCGCGAGGCTAGGCACGAAACACCATACACTTGTTTACGAGTCGTAATATCGCTTCGATCAAAGTATTCTACGCATTTGCGCTTTATAATTGCGTTTCGCATGCTTTAATGCGTTTAATGTCACCGCATAATACTGTTTTAATTAAAGAATTTTTCGTACAATACCTAATAATCGTGGACGAGAGAGAGATACGTACGACTTGACCTTCAGCCGGCGCTGGAATGCGGCGCATCACGTGATCGCGCGTCACGTGTCACCTGACATGTGACAGCCGCAGAGTGGGGGAACAGCTGTGCGCGCGTCAGTTCCCCCTCCTGCGCAGTACGACGAAGCGAGAGAGACGCATTTCTTTCTCTCTCCTCTCTCTCTCTCTCTCTTTGAAGATTTTCGAAAAATCGTTTTTTATCAAGTGTACACAGTGTATTATTTACATGTATGTGTGTGTTTGTGTATGAAAATATTTTATAATACATATATATATATATATGCATATATATATAAATATATAATATATAAATAGCCAAACTTAAAATACGAATTTAGGACCTCAAAACAAACAAATATTTTATTTGGAAGTTTGCTCGCAAACGGTTCCTTGCAAAGATATTGATTTTTGAAATTTTAAACTATAGGAATTAATTAATAATATCGAAATAATTTAGATTCATGAACGTCCGCAGAGGGAGGCAAAATAGGGGCATCTGCCCTCATCCTTATTGGAATCAGTAAATAAATTAAACATTTGCTCTCCTTTTGAATAAACACTAGAATTTATTTGCATATTTAATATAAAAAAAAATAAAAATAATAAAAAAATAAAATTTAAAAAAATTAAGAACAAAAAATTAAAAAAATCTAATTATGTCCCCTCCTGGAAAAAATCCTGCGGACGCTCATAATGTTTAAATTTATTTTCTTTATTAGTTTACAGTAAACAATTTAATGTAATTATTAAATATTTTGTTCAAAATGATGATCTCCAGCGTGGAGACAATAAAGCATATTAATAATTGCATCTGTCAATTAATAGCTGACTGACATGATATAGGTGCAAATGCTTGTCTTCGCGTTGGAGGTTATATTATTTTGAGAGAACAAAATATTTAATAATTATACATTACATTGATTACTGTAAATAAGCAATAAAGAGGATAAATCTAAATTATTTCGATATTATTCATTCCTATAGTTCAAAATTTTAAAAGTCAATATCTCTTCAAGGAAGCGTTTGCGAGCAAACTTCTATATAAAATACTTTTTTGTTTTGAGGTCCTAAATTCGTATTTTAAGTTTGGCTGTTTAAGTTTAGCCCGGAAACACCCTGTATATATGTATGTGAAAAGCTCGAAAAGCAAGTTTCTAAAGAAATTACTAGCTAAAGGTCTGTTCTTTTTATTCTTATTAATTGTCGTGAAAGGGAACACACCTTTTCTAGTAACCTTATCTAGTAACTTGTGCTGTTCGCAAAACGAGTTTCTCTTCTATGTCTTGCGTTGATTCGTGGCAGAAAAAATGACAGACAGTTCGTGACCTAATTCATTGTTCGCAAGGAGAGAAAGATGAAAGTTCCACGGTTACGTTTATCATGTGTTGTATGTTTGACGAAGTCATTAACATAAATATATAGTTAGTTTTACAAGACTATCTAGATTTTTGAAGAAAAGGCGTAATTGAAAAGATGCAGTGAGTATATATTGATCTCGCTAAAGTGCTAAAAATATTCTTGCGCGAGTTCTTTTTCTCTTCGCTGTCACTTTTACTTTCAAAACAGCTGTTTGTCAATACGGCTGATTAATTTCATCTGTTATGTTAATTTCCTTTCACGAAATTGATAAGCATGCGTTTTAAAACATTATTTTTTTGTCCCTTATTAACGCTGACATTGACATTTGTTATAACGTAATGTGTCATAACACTCATCTGTTTTAATGTAGAGGGGATATCTATATATATTAAAGTATTTCACCCCCAAAATATCCTAAAAATATATTATAACTTTGCTTGGAAGGAAGAAGTTTCAATGTAAACAATAAATCGCATTTAATAAAATATACATTTCTTGTTGATAAGTTAATAATAGGTATGTAAAAGAATAATTATTTGTATTTTGTTTGTATGAAGAATATAAATAAAAGATACGATAATAGATTCATTTCCAGAAATTGCATCATCTTTTATAAAAAAAAATTTCTGATAAAAATTTGTAAAAATTCTATTCCATTTATTTTAATTAGATTTTAATAGTAGTTTCTTTAATCTTATGTGAGATTTTTATTTTAAAAAATTGCAAATAAGGAAATATTAAAATATTAAAATTAAAGTTGCGAGTTGTGCAACATATATGAATATGATGTAATCTTTACTCTGTATAATGTTACATTATAAGATTTTCTCATTTTATATTTTTATTTACAATAATATTATTCTTATTCTAATATATACTTTACAAAATTTTATTTTTATGATAAAATTTGGTAAAAAGTATAAAAAGTGCATGTATAAACAGAAATATTTTTATTTCTATTAAATATTTATAAAAATTATGAACAAAAATATTAATTTTTATAGTTAATTAAATTTCATAATTAAATTAAAAAAATAAATGTATGATAATTTTACAATTAATATATTATTAATTACAGATATGGAATCGTTTCTACAACTTTTTAATCCACAAGATGATAAGGACATAAGAAAAAGGCAGTGGGATGATTTTGGAAATAATGGAAATGGATTATCGGATTGTGAAACTTCTAGTACCGATGAAGATCAAGAGGACTGTCTGCCACCGGAGCCTGAACACGGAAACGTAGAATATAAATTAAAATTAATAAATCCATCTAGTCAACGTTTTGAACATCTTGTTACACAGATGAAATGGAGACTAAGAGAAGGACACGGAGAGGCAATTTATCAAATTGGTACAAATAATTAAAATATTTAGTCTTGCATTACTTTTCTCTCAATATTTTTGCTTTGCTTATCTTTTAACATATTCAATATGTAGGAGTGGAAGACAATGGAAAATTGACTGGTCTAACAAAAGAGGAAATGAAGGCGTCCTTAAAAACTCTGAAAGACATGGCTTCCAGACTGGGTGCTACTATAAGAATATTACGCGAGCGTATAGTTACGAGTTCTACTACTAATAATAAAAATAAAACTTTGGCATCTCAAAATAGGAATAATAATAAGGAGGAAAAGAAGGTCGCTGAAGTATTAGTAAAAAGTTACGAAAGGACGACAGAGAGGACCAGGATAGCATCATGGATCTGAGACTGGCGGTCATTGGTGCGCAAGATGCTGGAAAGTCGACTCTCTTAGGTGAGAGAATTAGCAGAGGATATTTAAGGTAGAGACACTGACAGTCTACACTACACTCTGCTACTTAGTTGTCTGCTGTTTATCTTATGTACGAATTCTTCGAGAGTACAATTACCAAGATTATATAAATAATAATAATATAAATATAAACTGTCAATGTGTATATAGGAGTACTGACGCAAGGTGAGTTGGACAATGGTAGAGGAAGAGCGAGGCTTAATATGTTGCGTCATCTGCACGAGATAAAACGGGTCGTACATCGTCGATATCGCACGAGATCATCGGATTCGATAGCACGGGTCACATCTTGAACTATGCTGAAATGGCCACAGCCGAAGAGATATGCGAACACGCCTCGAAAGTCGTTACATTTATTGATTTAGCTGGACACCGCAAGTACTTGAGGACGACGGTACTTGGGCTCACAGGTATGTAATTCTAAAATTTCTAATTATGAGCTTATAATTACACGATATATGTTATAATGAATAACTTATATATCTTATTTATAATAATGAATATATTATATATAACTTATATATTATAACATTTAACAAATAATTTATATATGTTTTTGCTGTTTAATAAAAAGTTATTATTAAGAAATATATACATATATTTGAAAAGTCATATTTCCTTAGGATATTCACCGCATCATGTTATGCTAGTCATAGCGCCGCCTCTAAATGAAGTATCGCAGGAACATATGGCTCTCTGTTTAGCATTAAACTTCCATTCTTCATTGTCGTGAATAAAATCGATTTAGGATTCTGCGACATATCTGAGACTCTAGTTCAACTTGAGAATGCTATGATGACACAAGGATATCCCAAGCAATTAGTATTGTTTAGCAATAATGATATACCGTCATGGGACTGTACGTCAGATGTGATACCAGTATTTAGTGTCAGTTGTGTTACCGGTGAAGGCCTTGAAGAATTGACCATGTTTATCAAAAATTTGACACCTTATGAGATGAATTCAATTGACTCTGATCCAGAATCCTGTCTATTTCAAATTGACGAAACATTTAGGTAGATAATAGTCTCAAATTTATATTTCACGAATAATCAGTTTTATGAATCTTCGATATTTTAAGAATAATTAATATATGAATAATAAATAATTTTTACATATATCTTTAGTGTTTCAAAAGTAATTTGCTTTATAAAAAAAAATCTTTTTATAAGTATTATACGATGTAACTTTTTTATTTTACTGTGTATAGGGTAGCAGGTTTGACGCAACCAGTTTTAGGAGGATTACTCGTTAAAGGAGCGATTGCACCAGGAACTCGTTTATTAGTAGGACCTTTACCAGATGGAGAATTTAGTCCAGTAAGAGTAGTTAGTTTACATCGTAATAAAGCTCCGTGTTGTTTAGTTCGAGCGTCGCAAAGCGCCAGTTTAACTTTAGCGCCACCGACGAACCGTAGTCCTCCTCTACCACATCTTCGCCCAGGAATGGTTTTAGTCTCTCTACGTGATCGCCCACACGCGACACTTTTCTTTCAGGTGTGTGGAGAAGCTTTGATGCATGTGGTGTGAATTCTATAAGCTATGCTGGTAGTATATCAATCTAAATTCTTGTTTTCATTAATTTTCTATAAAATATTAAAATATTTTATGAATTAATTATAAAGAACTTGTTTGTGTTAATATTGCTAATATTGTTTTTAAAAACATGAATTGATTTGCCAAGAATAGGAATATTTAAGAATGGTCAACTTATGTTCCATCCAATTTGTAGATTTAAATATGAAATTTAAATATTATAAATGTTGTTTTAGGCAACAGTACTGATATTATATCACGCCACTGCGATATTCCCCGGTTTTCAAACGACAGTACACGTGGGTAATGTGAGACAGACTTGCGTCATTGAAGGGATAATGGATGTGAAAGATAGGGGACTGCAGACAAACGACACTGCTTCTGTATTATTTAGATTCGTTAGCCATCCAGAATATCTTCATGTCGGAATGCAACTCTTGTTCAGAGAGGGACGAACTAAGGGAATTGGTACAATTACACAGATCTTTCCTTTGATTGGATCACAGAACTCGATAAAGTGAAAAAAATTATATGACAATGTAAAATAATAACCGATATACAATTTTCTAGTATTTATATAACTTATAAAAGAAAGAAGGAAAAGTACATAAATTTTTATTTTAAAGTAGAGTCATATTTATTGGTATAAAAATAATTAATTAATTGTTTTTCATTATATGCTTCTCCAAACAGAGAATCTTTCTTAAAGTATCGATATCAATATTGATTTATGTAATAGATACAAAGCTTTCAAAATTTTTATTAATATTTATAAAATATTTTAATTTTCAAATAAATACGTTTATGTAAATTTAATCTTATCATTTTTTTATTATTTATACTATTTGATCAATTTGCAGAATTCTCCAAATAATGTGACTCCTTACTGTTTTGAGTAGCATATTAATGTCATGCAGAAAGAATTTAGTTTCGTTTGTTATAAGTAGTTAGATTTTATTAGTGTAAATGAAAGAAAGAAAAATCTAGTATGTTTGTGAATATAGAGGCATAAAACTAGGATTTTTGGCCTATTAGCAGATATTTAATTATTTTGAACAATGTGCATATATATATATATATATATATATATATATATATATATATATATATATATATAATATATTAGAAAACGAATTTACTTTTGTGTTACAAATATTTAGTGATGTTATTAGGATATGTCCAAAAGAGCAGGTGATATGCGGTATGTTTTTATATAGGTAGTCAAATTTTTTTTTGAATAGAATAGGACCTCAATATAAAAATATAAAATTGTAAGATTTAAGATTTTCTTTTATTATGTGCATATATAATTTTGTATATAAATATGTCATATCTTAAATCTATAATGTGATATATATTTTAATTACTTAATAATTTTTAAATAATTGGTGTATGTGCACATAATAATTATAAAAAGTTCTTGCTAAGCTTTTGAAAATGCAGAGTATCAGATATAAAGCACAACTTCGTTTATTAATCTGCAGATTTCTTTATATATCTTATAAAAAAATTTGCAAGTACATGTATTTTACAAATGTAATATAAAAATGAATAAGAAGGTAATTTTTTTGTATTATAGCTTGAAAATAAAAAAAGCATAATAGTGTCAAAACTCTTCGATAGTACATATTTTCTCGATGATTATACAAAGCATATGTATCATTCGATGTGGTGGATTCTGATGATTAATACACTTGTTAATGAATATTATTTTATTATGCTATCTCTTTGTTCCCTTTAAAGAAAAGATTACCTATTATAATGTAAGATATTGAATTTAAGAATATGTATATAATAATTCTTTATAATCTTTAGATATATATATATATATATATATATGTATATATAATTCTAATAATATATATATAATTTTATAATAAATATATATATATATATATATATATATATATATATATATAATTTTTGTCTTTATCTCTTAGAATATTCTTTTATATAAGAAATAGAAATTATTTATAAAATTTCAATGATAAAATTCTTTGTCTCAAGTAAAATGTAGAGTTTTAAAATAACCGCGATTGCCTGTCTGTGAATTAGTGAGTTGAGTGATATATATATATATATATATATATATATATATATATATATTATATTCAGGAATAATAATTAAATCTGAAAATTCATATCCTGAGATGTTTCTCTTTAGAATTAGGCATAATTAATTGCTTGAGACATCTAAAAATTAAGTAATAAAAGTGCATTTTTTTCATCTCGGGTATAATTTTTCAAACTCGGCAGAGCCGACCAATTACAGGTCGCGACAGCCATCACGTGACCACCAGATCACGTGACTTGCGCATTTTATCGCTCACTTCACGCGGGTAGAAATAATTCACGATTTCACGCCAGACGAAAGATCGCTCCTCCGTTTAGTCCAATAATTCGCGATATTTCGCAAATCACATTCGTCATACAGTATCATAACGTAAGTTGATAATCTTCTGATTACTTTGATAATACTCCTTGATTGTTTTTGAGTAGGAAATGTGCATATTGACGTGATGAAATGTGTGTTTCAGAGAAGGCAACCCCTCAAACGTTTATGCAGCGATCGCGCGAGACGCAGAGCTCGGTGAGCGAATAAATTCATTATATTTCTTTAGGAAGATAATCATTAATTCTGTGAAATTCATGTCCCGAGATTATTTTTTCCGAATTTTAGCTTCATTAATTGCTCGAATCGTCGAAAAATCAGAGTAATAAAAGTCCGAATTTTTTTACCCCGTTAGTACACACAGTTACCGCTAGAGTTTGACAGCTGACCAATCAGAGGCCACGGTTGAAGAAGCGGCAAAGTAATTCCCGCGCATTTTACACGGTCATTTATTAGACGCCTAGACGAAGGATCACTCGTTTGTTTAGTCCGATAATTTACGTTACTTTCGCGAATTGTATTCGTTGCGTGGTAACATATGAAAGTGGATAATATTCGGAGTTTGATTAAAGGTTTTTTATTTGATTTTGACAGTGTGAAGCATCAAGATGAAGAAATGTGTGTGTTTCAAAGAAAGCATGCATAGCCTCTTCAACAGCGGTGATAGAGTGAGTGAATTATTAAATATATTATTCATATTTATTTTAGAATAACATCTGAAAGTTGAATTTGTGTTCGGAAAAACATTTTTGCTCTATATGTGAAATTTTCCAAGTAGCGAAAAAATGTTTAAAACTCTTTTTCAAAGATTTTAAAAATGTTAAAATAATTATTTAAATCCCTTTTTATTTATAAAAAAATGTTTATTTTAACGTTAATGTAATATAAATATTTATTTAATTTTTATTAAATATTTATTTTATTAATATTTATTTCATTAATAAAATATTAATGAAATATTAATAGAGAATAAATATTTAATAAACGTTAAATAAATATTATATCACATTAACATTAAAATACATATCTTTTTAATAAATAAAAAATTTAACCAATTATTTTAACGTTTTTAAAATCTTTGAAAATGAGTTTTAAATATTTTTTATACATTTTTTACTACTTGAATTATCGCAATATTAAAATGCTTTTTTATTTACTGACATTAATTTTATTACGTTTTTGACACACGCTTTTCTGCGTTCGTTTTAAATTATTGTAATATAATCTCAATAAAAAAAGTAATATAGTAAACAATACACGTAAGTACATATATATAACAATATACGTATATATATATATATGATAATACACGTGAGTAAATATATACATGAAAAATATATTAGAAATATGTATATAAAAATATATTGGAAAATTGGAAAAAGAAATGCACACGAAATGTTGACGAAATATTTTCGTTTATTCTGAGCAAAGTACAAAACACTTTTCTAGCTTAAGATCTAGCAAGTTACATTTGCAATGTTATTTTTGTATTTTGCGCGATCGCAAATAATCCATAAATGCGTCGTCGATACAGCTCGACGTGTACTTTGAAATAATTTAATTAAGGCAACTGTTGTTACATTATTAATCTTTCTCGCATACATACACATATATATCTCTTTGTCCTTTCATCACTCGTTAATTATCTCGATCTGTCGTAATACATTACATTCGTCTCGCGTGATTAACGGCACTTTTTCTCCCAAAAACGCGATATATGTACTAAATTCTACCCCGACTAGACTAGTAAGCGATCGAGACTTAAAACCGGTTGCGATTACATTGCTCATTCTATACAAATTTCGTCGAATCACTGGGCGGGAGTTATAGGCTATCATCATCGACAAGTCGATAAATAAATTAATACTTAAATATGATAATTTAATATCGCCGACAAAATAATTAACCGAAAGACTGTCGACTCATAATTGTGAGCGTAATAGGATATGAAATAATATATGGTAAATCGCATATTTTTGATATTTAGCTTGCTTCTATTTTTTCTAACAAAATTAGAGAAAAAAATATAGAATAGAATTATTGAAAACATTATCCATAATTGGGTCAAAAATGATTTGATCTTTTTTTATCTGTTTAATAGTTTAAAAATATATTGGCAGCGATTGTTTCGAGTATTATCTCGAATTTTTTAAATATAATTATTCTGTACTTAACTTATCTGCTTATAATGAACGACTCGTAGTTCACCGAGTTAAATTTCCACTGCTTTTGGTCTCATCATCATGTTTCTCTCTGAATTCCCATAAATAAATTAATATTATATATTAATATAATTATTATATTATTAAAATTAAATATATATATTAATATGATAATATCAATTAATCCAAACATAAAAATACTGTATATAATATTTTAATTTGAGAGAATATAAAGGTAACGATAAGTTTTATATAAGTTTCTTGTTTCTTATTTCTTCTATAAGTTTCTATACAGAACTATAAAAGAAATTTTGTTCTCTCTTCGTATCGCAGATAGAATTCTGTGAACGCGAGATCTTGTGCATCACTAGTATAGCGCAGAGTATAATATATTTGTTTCTGGTACTTAAGAATATATATATATATATGTATATATATATATCAAGATGAGATTATATATTCATTTAATTCTCTCTACTGTTTTAAAAGTCTCTGATCGTGAGCTTGAGATCGTGCAAAGATCAAACTGCTTTCTTCATTAAAAAATCGAAGAAAGCTTGTTTAGTATAAAGAATGAGAAAATATCGAATACACGGTGCATAAATATACCGATGTATTAATTACGGCATATCGTCTCACAATTTGTGAGATTAGATTTAGAGTATCATTTTATACAGTGTGTTGTAAATATTTTTTTTATAAAATCATTATATCAAATAGGCACGCGATTGAGATTAGCGTTGATATTGCTTATAATTTGATATAATTACGTATATGAAATTTAGTAAAATTATTTACATTGTGTAATGTAACATTATATATTGTAAAATACACTTTATATTTGATTGGCAGAGTGTGAATTGTGACATTTTCGCGCTCTCTAAATGTTTTACTTTTGTAAGTGACTTCTTGCAATACTGGGTAATACTAATTCCCGCTTTATTATTACATATAATGGTTATAAATTATTGTCTCTTAATAAATGCAAGTCATTATTAGGAAAGTTTGATTTAAACCGCGCTCTTTTTCATCTCTTTTAAACAGATTTAGATGTTTAACATATTTATTCTTATTAGTAACTCTTCATTAATGTGCTGAATAAGAAGTAATTGTCATATTGTAAGTAATAAATAAAATGTTAGTAATTTTGACATAATTTGTTTTGAAGAAAAATTATATTATAAAAGATTTAAAAATAATATTATAGCTAAAATTAGAGCACAATTAGAGTCAGATTTTATAAATGTTATGATTATAATAAATATACAATATATTTTAATTTTATTGATATATATAATTTTAATTAATTTTTAATTATAATTTTAATTAATAATATTATATGTATATAAATATTTTATATACATATCAATATCCAAAAAAATTGACTTATTAAAAAATTTAAAAAGAGAGGAAATATATATATATATATATATATATATATATATATATTATATGTCACAATAATGAAGAGCTATATTCTTATTCTCGCGCAAATCTGTTGTCGCGCGTTGTCCTGATTACGGACGTAATTTTGGATCATAAAGCGGTTTCGAGAGTAGGAGCACTCGGGCTACGTGTTGCAACGTTTTGCGTCACAGCGTGCTGCGGAGATTCTGATCGCGCTCTGAATCTCTTGCTAAAATAAAGACTCTGCGACGGATTCGTGCTGGTGGGTGTGCTAGCTAGGAACTGTGCTTTCGCCAATTGATTACTGATCCTCCGCGACTCGAGAGCGCTAATGGGATCCTGACTCATCGATTCGAGCGAACTCTTACCGGTGATATTATTTCGAAAAGTCAAGGACGAAGTGTCTTGACCGGTTATTGGAGCTTTCGCGATTCGTGCGGGATCATTAATGACTGGTTCTTGAGCTGTCTTAGTTTGATTCAGCAGTTTTGCGGGATCAAGATTGAGTTCGTTGGATATCTTGCTCGCCATTAGTTTATCCTTGAAATTCGCGGTCTTGTCCTCGTGGTCGACGATACGCAGATGACTCGTCAGGTCATTGCAAAGATCCAACTGTCTTCTAAGACTCAGTCTTGAGATGGGAGACGTGTTCTCCGGCGATGGCTTCATAGCTTTCTCTTCCGCCGCGGTGTCCTCGATTATGGTGGACGAGAGGACGTCGGTCCTCGGTGTTTGAAACCTCCAGACCGAGCGTGGACTCAGAACCTTGGCCAGAGGACTCTGATGAGCGTTCGGCGATGATTGTAGTTGTTGCTGACATTGCTGGCGCGACAATTTTAATTGCTCCGCCGCCGACAGCCGCATGGGATTCGTCTTTACGCTTTGCTGAAGAAGCAAACGTTTGAAGTCCATCCGCGACGTAGGCGATTGCACAGTGGTTGGTATCTGAAATCGAACATTGAAATTAACATTCATACTTGGAAAATATTTGTTTAAATAAATTAGCACACCTTCTCTCTCGAATTAGACATTTAACAATGGTTTATCCTTGAATTTTTTAATATCGGTGCAATTACCTCTGCAGTTTTCTGAGATTCCGGGCTCCAGCTGTGCCTGGTACCAGCCGGTGTCTTCACCAAAGAGTCCATCGATCCGCAAAGCGACAGATTATCATTCTCGTTCTCGTTGAGCCTGATGTTGAGTCGCTTCTTCGACTTGTGGATCGCGGCGAATAACTCCTCGTTGGACATGGTGCTCTTGGTAGGCGACAGGATCAGATTGGTCGGCGTCGTCCTGCCGGAAGACGTCTGGACGGGAGTGCTTCTACCTGAGGAACCACTCATCGGTATCGGCGACGAGCAATTATTGCCGGCGGTGGTGGTTAAAGCTAGACGTTCCGCCACGGTTGGCGCCGATCGCCCGTGATGTTCGGTGGGAGTGGACGATTTGAAGCCGTTATTGTAACAGCCGTGGCCGATCGGGGAAATTGGATTATTCCGTAGAACGTCCGCGTTAGGAGACTTCGTAAGAGGATCGTTAGCGGGCGAAGATGCGAAGAATCGGAAGCCAAGTGCAGCTAAATTTAAAGGCGTTGCGAACCTATAGTAACAACGAGACGCATTTAGAGCAAAGTCGTTTACTTTTAGGGTTGATGATTAGCGTGTGATCTCTTCACTTTTCCATTATGCAATATATAATATAAAGGTAGAAGAGGCAATTTGTAAATAATTGCATTAATTGCACTTTCTCTTAGAATTTACCCTGAAAATCATCGTAATAAATGGTGAAATAATATGGTACTGGAAGAATTTTATGAGTTTCTCTGATTAATATTTACCACAATAAAACATATTAATATCTATCACAATAAGATATTAAATATGTTCGATTAATTGTACATGGTAAAATTTTCTACTCGTATTAATATTTTTATTGTGGTAAATATTAATCAAAGAAACTCTTATAAAATTCTTGTAGTAGATATTCATATTTTTATTGTTTTATATTATTTATATTAATCAGAGAAATTCTTATAAAATTCTTCCAATATCAAATCCCACCATACTACCATGATTTTCAGGGTAAATTCTAAGAGAAAAACCACTCTCTGTGTATTAAACATAGAAAAAAGCTCTTAAAAATATTTTGATTAAGAATCGCAGGATATGATAAATACTAACCCTCCAATTTTATAAGAGTTTCTCTGATTAATATTTACCACAATAAAAAATACATATTAATATTTTTTTATTATGGTAAATATTAATCAGAGAAACTCTTGTAAAATTCCTCCAATACCTTATTCCACAATTATCATGATTTTTAGGGTAAGAAAAAAATCTTAATAAAAATTATTAATAATATAATATTTATATCTATCTATTATATATATATATATATATATATATATATATATTACTAATATTATTAACCCCCTCAATTTATCGATTTATTTAAGAGTGCAATGAAAAAAATGGAGTCTTCTCGGTGTCCTCACCTATTTCTGACATCCACAACCGATTGCAACTGACTCTGCACAGATTTGCCTCTCGTTTCCGCTTGCTCCAAATTGTGACTTCTCTGGCTCTGCTCGTTCTCCACATTTGTAACCCTTTGTTGGCTCTGTTTCGCCAGCATGTGCATGCTGCTGAGAGACCCGCGACCCAGACCCCTGGTGATATCCGGCGTGACGCTGCGAGGCGGCTCGATCTCTCGCTGAGGCCTCCTCGTCGGCAGGGTGTAAAACTGCTGCTGCTCGATTTCTCGGACCGGTGGTGCGCATAGCTGCTGGTTCCTCGCGTTGTGCATGTGCACCGTTTGACAGTTGCGGACTCGCTGCTGGTATTCATAGTTGGACATCCGCTGTTGCTGATCGTACAAATTACGATTGTCATAAAGCTGGACATTTTGATGGGGATCGTAGATCTCCTGCGCGTAGGATTGCTTGTTCTTCTCATTTTCGGGATAAGCTCGCAGATTCGGCGGCTGCGACTCCTTCAGGATATCTTGGTACCTTTTCTGCGACTTTTGCCGATCCTCGGGTTTAGGTGGAGCGATGTAGGGCGGCGGTTGAACGATAGCTTGCGGCGGTACCGATTCCGAAGGTATCGCCAGTAAAGTATTGTCTGCAACAGTTAAGAGAAGATAGTTACATTCCTCGTAAATTGTCAGCTACAAGCGTTCTCTTTTATGAGCGTTTTTTAAAGATGATTGATAAGAGGATGTCTCAATATTATAGTTTCTTAAAATTCTTCTTAAGTTCAAGAGAGAAGAAAGAGATACTTTTGGAAACATGTTAGATCTTTAATCATGCTTATCTATGTTTTAATTATAGTGCATTTTATTAGGTACGATTTTTCTTCTATTAAAAAGCTACACGTATTAAATATAGTATGATAAAAATAAATTTTAGTAATACAATTATTAATCCATTATTTATTTTTATCGGCTCTATAAACATTTCAATTCAATGTTAATTATCTTATTAAACTTAATCCAAAATTATGTGTGCGTTCGCGCATGCAAATACATAAATGTAACATTAGAAGTATTTATATAAAGATCATTGTCGAAATTGTGAGTAATTAATCTCCAAGCATAAAGCAAACATATTGCAAAAGCGTCACGAACACAAGCATGCATAAACAAAACGCGAGCAAATTATGATATAGCACATGAGTTTGATATCGATTTTTGCATAAATTATCTAATTGAGTTGTATAAAATCCATGTACTTTTACATGAAAATTACTTGTTCGAAAATGGAAAAATTACTTAATTATCATTGTAATTTTCCATATTTTTTAAAGTGAAAATACATATTAATATAAAATATATTTTATAAGCATTTATTAATTTTATTTATAACATTATTTTATAGCATTTGTACATTTCGTATGTCTAGTTTCATACGAAATTACATATAATCTGCAATCTTCCATATAGGTAATTGCATGAAAAATGCAAAATTGCGTGATTACGCTGGGTCGAAAAAATCCAACATAATTTTACACAAGTATTTTTCAGCGTTTACACTTTAAATAGATTAAATAAAATTTTAGAAATTAAAAAAATTATAATATATAAATAATTATGCAAAAATGTTCTCTCCTCTTCACGATCGAGATGAAACTCTTGTGTGTCTTTCAATATCCACAAAGTGAAAAAAAACGTACTCACCAGGTACATGGAACTATGATATGTGGGTTACTAATGAGGGGAAGTGCCACACGCGCGCGAGGTGCATTTTTCTAAAACTATATGGCCACATATATCAGGAGATAAAAAGAGAAACAATAAAAAAACAGGCTTTGGATTGCAGGACTTGGTGCAATATTTACAATCTTAGAGGTACAGACTCGATGTACATTGATGATTGTATATGTATATATATATAGATGACAGAAAGAGAGAGAAAGAGATAAAAAAATGACAAAATGCAAGTGCTTTCCAAAAAGAATGACGTCTATTCAACATACATTCCTCGTAATTCGTTAATGACACATCGTATCGGCGACAGTAATATAGTTCTATGTACAGGCATGAGATGTACCGCCGCAAGATGCACCGGATATAAAAGAAAAAAATTACATATATATATATATTTTTTTTTTTTTTAATAATAAATGTGCATACGAACGGCGGGTAGATCTTAAAGCTACAACACATATTTACATGTACATACAATACACGCGGATAATGCATGCTCCTCCTCGCCCAGCTTGTAAGTACGTCTTCGCGATATTAGTTGCAAGCTGATTAATTAACAACACACGTAGCTCAGAGTAACACCGTGAGGAAAGCGTCTCTCGACTTCCGGTATCCCGACAATTTTCATTAACATGACATGTAGCCGTATGTCATTAACGCGTTACCTTACATGTATATATAGAAGTTGCGATATACGTAATGCTATTACGCTGACAAAGTGTCAGCGAGATTATGACACAGTAACTAGATTGCAGATGACATATCTCTACCTACATTATAAGAGCAACATTGTGTCTTTTGTAAAGGAAGACTAATCATCCAGAATAGAATTAACGCTCGGTGTATTTTATTATATTGCAATAGAACAATAGTCCAGTAAAATTAGACTTGAAAAGGACAATTTTATAAAAATTACAATCAAACTGAATTTTTCTGGAGACCTTTATTTCGATGTTCTAATGAAATCCTGAAAAGTCTTCTTAATTTTATCCAGAGCGTTTTTTATGGGGGGTAAATTTTCGTTTTTTGCCATTATCTCGAAAATTATCAATTTTTCGAGAAAAATAGTTGTTATCAAAATTATAGCTCATAAAATTCTCTACAAAAAAGGTCACTATACTTTTTTTCGTACAACTAATCGTTTTTGAGTGAAACGATAGAGTTGTGATGTCTGTAGTTCATAAAAAATACGTACTCCTTTCTGCTCTATATCTTCGAAACGGTTAATTTCACGAAAAAAAGTATAATAACCTTTTTTGTAGGGAATTTTATGAGCTACAATTTTGATAATAACTATTTTTCTCGAAAAATTGATAGTTTTCAAGATAGTGGCAAAAAACAAAAATTTACCCCTTTTTAAAAAATGCCTTGGATGAAATTAAGAGTACTTTTCAGGATTTCATTAGAACATCGAAATAAAGGTCTCCACAAAAATTCAGCTTGATTGTAATTTTTATGATATCAAAGTCTAATTTTTTCCTGGACTACAACCGACGTTTCATTATATATTTTTATCAGTCTTTTTTTCGTTATATCAATAGATTATATTTGGCAAAAATATCAAGTCATATATTTTATATTTATATATATAAAAATGATATATCACGACGTCACTCTGATTGAGATTTATTGTTGCAGCTACGGGATTCTATGTAATGTACCTATTATTAGTTAGTCCTTGTTAGTCAGTGATAGACTACTTACAACGAGAGGGCGAGCACGCAATATCGAGCAAACATGCGACACGGCAAGTTAGGGCATATTTAATACGAGAGCTTCACAAGCATGCCGGAACGTCATTACTCATTACTGCCATTACTTCGTTAATTATTAGGGAAGCGACGGCTGTTTGTTCGCGTAGAACAATTTATAATGATAGTCAGTCGATGATCAAACAATGATCTCAACAGTTTTCCGAGATCACGAGAAGCGCAGTTGTATAAAATCATTAAAGTCATCATAACTATTTATATATCATAAATCATTATTTACACAATTCTAGTATTCGGAGTAAAATGTAATAACTATAACTTAAATTAATTATAACAATATAGCAAATGTAATATATCTATCTAAAGTTTAGAGATATAATTTTTTAACAAAAGAATTTTTGAATTTTACGAAAATTGTCGATTCAGTAATGGACGAAAATGAACAACAGAATGTGGTTCTAAGGTAACTTAGATATACGATCGTCGCATCGACAGATGTGTAGATCAATAATTCGACTTTGTAGAATGTGCTACTATTATTTAACGATCAATCGCGGCCGCGCAATTGCATTTAACTGCATGCGCATCGAAACATTTTTTTCTCTTATTGCTGTCGACGAGAAAAACGATCATTCTCATCGTTTATAAGTCATCGGAATAAATATTTTCTTTACCCTTGACTTATCGCTCACAGACAGAGTGTGAACTGCAACATTTATCATTAACTAGATAACGATTTTATAGGCTCTGACTGCTCCTCTTCTGTTTTTTTACGGATTTACGATATTTGTATTACATCTAAAAATATGACCACAAAGTTATCAATCGCAATAACAAACTCATTAATTTCGTAACGTGTCAAAATTGTGATCGTATCTAGCGATGCGACAAAGTATTCTCAATCTTATACGATAAGATATGCTGCAATAATAAAATGCGGGTAGCAAACACAATTTGGTATAATTCCACATGGATATATATATATATATATATATATATATATATATATATAAATTAGCTATTGTAGCTAAATTTTAGCGCCCTATATTAAACATGAAATTTAATTATTATGCTTAAATTTGAGCTAATACTTTTTTTAGCTGTACCATTCTCCGTTAAACTACAGCTAAAAATATTAGTTTACATAGCTAAAATTTAGACATGATAATTATAATTTAGGACAATTCAAATTTAGCTACGATAGCTAATTTTGTGATATGTATGTGTTTACTAATAAATATAATTATTATAAATATATGACACAACAGATTGACCATGTTTTTTCTAAATGATCTAAACACATAAACATAAAATATGTTATGCATTTTTCGATAAAATGACTTAGTGCTTCTGTGCAAAATCCAAAAAAATCGATAGTAAGGTAAATTACTTATTTGTCCTTTTTTCACTGGCCATACGTATATAATTGTACGAAGAATATAGAGATTAACGTAAATAACTAACATAAATTATATATATTCAAAATTAATACTTTGCGTGTCTTATTACACAATTGTTCTTAGATTAAACGAAGAACCGCAATTACGGTATCGCGTACAGCCGATTTCGCAACGATTTATATTTATCGGCGCGATTTCTTGTACATCTATCAAGTGGACGGACTTTATACGTTTTTCTTACACGGAAAAAAATTAGCTATTATATGTAAATTTTAGCTGTCCCTATATTAAACATGAAATTCAATTATCATTCCTAAATTTTAGCTAATATTTTTTAGGATAAATATTAATTACCATAAAATTTAGGCATGATAACTAAAATTTTGGTTGCAAAATAGGAACAACTAAAATTTAGCTATGCTAGTTAATTTTTTTCCGCTGATGCGTCTCGCAAAAATTATGCATCCAGCGTCTGAAAATAATCGTATAAATATTGGCAAAGATAAAGATTATCTGGAATCACACTTCGACGGCTAAATTTACGTGCTTTGTTTTTCAGTCTTTCCTTTAATATTATTATTTTGAAAAAAACCAATTATTTTAAATTATTATCTACGTAATTAATTACTCTTCGACGCAGTCTGTTAATTTCGACCGCGATTTTACGTAACAGGATATCGCTCCCTCCAAGGTCTTTATCGTGTGACATTTACAGATCACATTCGAGATTTTAATTATCTTATACGTCTCTTTCACTTCGTATATATATATATATATATATATATATATATATATTTTTTATAT